GGGGGAAGTTCACCTGCTTCAGGTGGTCTAACCCTGTGGAGGTGCCCCGGGAAGTTCCCAGTGCCAGACCTGTCCCCTCACTAGGCTACAATGTGCAGCACAGCCCACAGATGGCTCTCAACACTCTCCAGCTCTCCTGTGTCAAGGACTGCCAATTGGATTCAAAGGAAAGATATTAGCTTTGGAATCACAAATTGGCAGGCCTATTTAGGCAATGTGATTGAGATGAAGGGAAAGCACCGGCCTGGGAAGCAGGAATTCATTCTCCATCCTAGCTCGATTGGTCACAGTGGTGGGGCCTCAGAGGTAATGAAAGAAATTGTGAGAGCCAATGATGAATGCTCCTGGCACATAGTAATGGCTGAATTGGTGTTTATCCACCCACGACCCTTGGTGACCCATATGTGGTATGAGTTCCTTTGGGTATTCATCTTCACATCTTTCTAAATCCCAGTTTAACCCACAAGTTCATTATCCAGAGACAAATTTTCTCATTACACATATTTTTTTCCATTCACTTCCCTTCTGCAAATTTTTTTTTTGAGGTACTGGGGCTTGAACCCAGGGGTGCTCGAGCAGTGAGAGACATCCATAGCTTCACTTTTTTTTTTTTTTTTTTTTTTTAGTTAGAATCTCTCCAAGTTGCCCAGGCTGGCCTTGAACTTGCAATCCTCCTGCCTCTGCCCCCAGACTTGCTGGAATTACAGGCATGCATCACAAAACCCGGCCCCTATTCTGCAAATTCTGACTTTTCTTCATGGACACATGGAAGAACACCCCATTGAACACAGCTGCAGAGGAAACCCATTGGAAAGAGTTTGAAAGCACGCTTCCTCTCATACGGCATCGAGAGCACGGCCCATGCTTGCCTTTTGCTAGACAATGTGAATGGGCCCGGGCCACTGGGCTTAATTCCCACATGGAAGTTCCTAAGGCCAATTGTAAAGTGTTGTCACTAGTTTCAAAGCTAGACTACATGGTGACTTCCTTCTCATTCATATGTAACAGAAAGTGATGAGACAGAATCCACAGGGCAGAAGTGGAGAAAAGCCAACATGGTAGTACCTGGAGAGGGGACATTCACTGCTGAAGTTTTTCGGGCCCATTTTAGTTACCCTGGTGAGACTGGCTGGCTCCTCTCACTGGTTGTGACACCAGTTTCCAAAGCTCTGTTTCCATATGTAATTAACTAATTGAGAGGATGACAAACTAATGACTAGAGCCACAGAGGTCAAAGTGGCTGTCAATGTATTGTTCTTTTTTTTTTTTTCTAAATTAACCAATTAATTTACTTGATCTAATTTGTTATACATGACAGCAGAATGCATTTCAATTTACAGTACACAAATGGGGCACAGTTTTTCATTTCTCTGGTTGTACACAAAGTACAGTCACACCATTTGTGTCTTCATACATGTACTTAGGGTAATGATGTCCATCTCATTCCACCATCTTTCCTACCCCCATTCCCCCTCCGTACTCCTCCCTCTCCTTTTCCCTATCCAAAATTCCTCCATTCCTCCCATGCTACCCCGCCACCCCCACTATGGATCAGCATCCACTTATCAGTGAAAACATTCGGCCGTTGGTTTTTGGTTCACTTGGTATGATATTCTCCAACTCCATTCATTTACCTGCATATGCCATGATTTATTCTCTTTTAATGCTGAGTAAAATCCATTGTGTATATATCACATTTTCTTTATCCATTCATCTACTGAAGGGCATCTAGGTTGGTTTCACAGTTTAGCTATTGTGAATTGTGCTGCTATAAGCAATGATGTGGCTGAGTCACTGTAGTATGCAATCTTTAATTCCTTTGGGTATAAACCGAGGAGTGGGATAGCTGGGTCAAATAGTTTCGATTCCAAGTTTTCTAAGTAATCTCTATATTGCTTTCCAGATTGGTTGCACAAATTTGCAGTCCCACCAGCAATGTATGAGTGTGCCTTTTTCCCCATAGCCTCACCAACATTTATTCTTGCTTGTATTCTTAATAGCTGCCATTCTGACTGGAGTGAGATGAAATAGTTTTGATTTGCATTTCTCTAATTGCTAGAGATGTTGAACATATTTTCATATATTTGTTGATTGATTGTATATCTTCTTCTGAGAAGTGTCTGTTCAGTTCCTTGGCTCATTTATTGATCAGGTTTTTTTTTTTTTTTTTTTTTTTTTTTAGTGTTAAATTTTTTGAGTTCTTTCTATATCCTGGAGATTAGTGCTCTATCTGATGTGTGTGTGGTAAAAATTTGCTCCCATACTGTAGGCTCTCTCCTCACCTTACTGGTTGTTTCGTATTGCTGAGAAGCAGCTTTTCAGTCTGAATCCATCCTATTTATTGATTCTTGATTTTATTTCTTGCCCTTTAGGAGTCTTGATGAGGAAGTAGGGGCCTAATCTAACATGACGAAGATTTGGGCCTACTTTTTCTTCTATTAGGCACAGGGTCTCTGGTCTAATTCCTAGGCCTCTGATCCACTTTGAGTGAAGTTTTGTGCATGGTGAGAGAGTGGGGTTTAATTTCATTTTGCTACATATGGATTTCCAGTTTTCCCAGCACCATTTGTTGAAGAGGCTATCTTTTCTCCAATGCATGTTTTTGGCACCTTTGTCTAGTATGAGATAACTGTATTTATGTGGGTTTGTCTCTGTGTCCTCTACTCTGTATCATTGTCTATAATAGTCTATTTTGGTGCCAATACCATGCCATTATTGTTACTATTGCTATGTAGTATACATAGTTTAAGGTCTGGTATTGTGAAGGAACCTGCTTCACTCTTCTTGCTAAGGATTGCTTTGGCTATTCTGAGTCTTATTTTTCCAGATGTATTTCATGATTGCTTTTTCTGTTTCTATGAGGAATGTCATTGGGATTTTTTTTTTTAAAGAGAGAGAGAGAGAGAGAGAGAGAGAGAGAGAGAGAGAGAGAAAGAGAAAGAGAGAGAGAGAGAGGAGAGAGAGAAGGGAGAGAGAGAAAAATTTTAATATTTTTCTTTCAGTTTTTCGGTGGACACAACATCTTTATTTTTTTATGTGGTGCCGAAGATTGAACCCAGCGCCCTGCGCATGCCAGGCGAGCGGGTTACCACTTGAGCCACATCCCCAGCCTGTCATTGGGATTTTGATTGGAATCGCATTAAATCTGTATAGTGCTTTTGGTAGTATGGTCATTTTGACAATATTAATTCAGCCTATCCAAGAACAAGGGAGATAGATCTATCTTCTAAGGTCTTCTTTAATTTCTTTAGTGTTCTATAGTTTTCATTGTAGAGGTCTTTCACCAGTTTTGTTGATTTCATTTTGCAACATATGGATTTCCAGTTTTCCCAGCACCATTTGTTGAAGAGGCTATTTTTTTTTTTTTTGAGGCTATTACAATGGGGTAATTTTCCTAGTCTTTCCTTCAGAGGATTCATTGTTGATATATAGAATTGCATTTGATTTATGGGTATTGATTTTATATCCTGAAACTTGGCTGAATTCACTTATTAGTTCTAGAAGTTTTCTGGTGGAATTTTTTGGATTCTCTAAGTATAGAATCATGTTATCAGCAAATAGTGATAAAAAGTTTGAGTTCTTCTTTCCTATCTTTACCCTTTAAATTTGCTCTGGCTAGAATTTCAAGGACTATGTTAAATAGAAGTGGTGAAAGAGGGCATCCCTGTCTTGTTCTACGTTTTAGAGGGAATGCTTTCAACTTTCTCTATTTAGAATGATGTTGGCCTTGAGCTTAGCATAGGTAGCTTTTTACAATATTGAGATATGTTCCTATTATCCCAATGTAGTATTCTTAAATCCCATTTATTTGTGAAGATCATGGTTTTCAATTTCTAGGGACATATTCATAAAGGCAAGGGCACTTCTTCAAAGTTAATGGCTCTATCATTAACTGAATTTGAAAACTTAGGGGGGTTGAAACACCATTTTCCAAGCTCTTTTTTTGTTGTTGTTGGTACCAGGGATAGAACCCAGAGGCGCTTAACTACTGAGCCACATCATCAGCCCTTTTTATTTTTGAGACAGTCTCACAAAAATTGCTAAGACTGGCTTTGAACTCACAATCCTCCTGCCTCAACTTCCTGAGCTGCTGGGACTACGCGGCATGTGCCACGGCTTTTTATTTTTTTACTAAAATGGCAAGGTGGGCACCACTTGGTGTTGGAGGAGGTGAGTGACCATCACATGCTCAGGGCAGCTTCTAAGTCTTCAGTGCTTCTGCACACATGGGATTCCAGGCTTGCTCTGGCAAACCTGAGTTACTGCTTTCTGAGGGTCACTGAGAAACCCCACTATGGAAAACAGTGACTCATCTTAATTTTGTGCTAAATCAACTGCTATTTTAGTCCAGATTGTAAGACAGGCAGAAAAAAAGGTTTCTCTTTCTTGTAAGAAAGTCTATGCTTCCTCCCTGGATTGGCTGGGAGTGCCACTGAGTGAGCAGCCTAAGGGAAATCCTCATCCACTGGCCTACCTCTGGGGTCCCAGCATTCCTTAGAAGCCTGTCTGCTATACTCTAAGGGAGAAGGTCGGAGTTCTAAACTTGAAACTTTAAAATTAGACAATCTGTAGACCCTTGACATGGACAAAGTTCCCATTATTTACCATTTGTTATGCTCCCCTATCTCAGAGCATGTCCCCCCCCCCCCCCCCCCCGGGCCTGCAGTGGCATATACTGATGCAAGAATGGTTATGTTCTAGTAAAGGAGGAAAGCCAGATGCAGAGGGCTGCTCATGCCCCCTCCATCACATTTTGCCCTAAGATTCAAACTTCTCCTGCTTCAGTCAAGTGATTTCACATCATAACTTGCAGGGTCTCCAATCAATCATCAGAATAGGGAGCACTGCCCTGCTAAGAGGCTACCTACCTCCAAGGAGGCTACTGCACCTTCTGCAAGTTTATGCAGAAAACTTAACAAGCTGATGAACATTTCAGCATCCATAGCACATATATTCTGCTTACATTTTATTTTAGTTATAGAACAACTGCCCAGACACAATTTTAAAAAACACACACAAACACATATTTTTATTCCTTCTTTTGTTGCAGAAAATAAATACAACCACATATTCCATATGCTTGTCTATAAAAGCATTTCTAAAAACATCATTTACTTGAGTCAACAGTATAATCTTTTTGGCTTTTCAATTGCAGGTATCAGAGTAAATTATTTGAACATTTTTGGACACTTGGCTCAAACAACTTTGGAAAAAGGCTGTTTGTAGGCTTAAAAATCTTATTCCAAAGTTTTTTTTAATAGTTACACTAAAAACAACCACATTTTAACTTATTTAAGAGGAGAATAGTTTTTCTTTTATAAAAATTGCTCCCAAAACTCAAATACCCAACCCAACATAAAAAGTTTTGTCTGTCTTCCCAGGAATCCATGGGGAGGGGTGGGGGGAGGGGTGAGGAACAGCAGCACAGGGTTCCGTCAAGTACATCCAGCCCTAGCCAGAAGGGTCCTCACAGCATTCATGCCTGTGCTTCCAGTTTGGCCCTTGGGAGTTTTAAAAAGGACAGCCTTTTAGTCATCTAAGCCTATGTTTCTGAAAAGGTAGGACATAGACTCTCCATTGTGAATGCGACGGATGGCTTCTGAGAGGATCATACTGATATCCACAGTTTTGATCTTGGGACACTGAAGCTTCTGAATTTCATGTGGAATTGTATTGGTAACCACCACCTAAGAATCAAGAGGAAAAACCAAGAGCATCAGAAAGTCAAGTAGCTTCTGGGGCTGGGGGTGTAGCTCAGTGATAAGAGAGCAGGCTTGACATGTATGAGCCTTATGTTCCATGCCCAGCACTGCAGAAAAGGAAAAGAACACTAAACAATTGAAAACTAAAAGCTAAGCAGCTTCATGGCTTGATCTGAAAATGTGATGCATTTTCAAATATGTGAGGTCCTACTTAACAGGACGGGGGTGGAGTGGTCTCCCCTCCTTTCAATAAGCTTTCCAATCAACGTGAAGCTATCCGTGTCTCTTGGGTTAAGATTTGATAACTTCACACCTACTAGGATAGTTATGGCTAAAAACACAGATGATAACAAGTGCTGGGGAGGATGTGGAGAAACTGGAGCCCCCTCACTGCTGTTAGGACTGTGAGTTGCTTAAGCTGCTTTAGAAACCTGTCTAGTAGCACCTTAAAAGTTTACATATTAAGTTACCATATAAACTAGCAATCTCTCTCCTAGGAATATGTACCCAGGAGAGCTGAAAACACATCCACACAAAAACTTACATATCAGGGTTCATAGAAGTATCGTTCATAATAGTAAAAAAGTACAAACTGAACTCAAGTTTCCAGCAATTGATGGAGAAACAAAATGTAGCACATACCACAGAATATTATTCAGTCATAAAAAGGAACCAAGTATTGATCCATGCTACAAAATGAATGAACCTTGAAAATATTATGCTAAGTAAAGAAGCTAATCTCAAGTGATGACATACTGTATGATCTCACTTCTGTGGTAATCATTACACAATTTTGGATTCTCTAAAAACCATCAGATTATATACTTTAAGTGAATGAATTCTATGATATGCAAATTTTATGTCACAAAGCTGTGATTTTTTAAAAAAAGTGGTATTCAAGCTGCTTATAGTCAATGAAATGCAACTTTAACCCATGTTTAAATTCATTTTTAGCACAAATGAGCATCCTCTTGTACCAACTCTCTGTGCCTCAGATTTTGGAGATGCCAATGCCCGGGCAAGTGCACCCACATTAACCAGGGCCCATTACCTCATCAATGGCAGACTCTTCAATCAGCCGGGGTGCGTCTGAAGACAGCAAACCATGAGTCGCCATCACGAAGATCTTATATGCACCTCTTTCCTTCAGGGTCTCTGCTGCAGCAAGAAAGCTGTCGACATCATCGATGATGTCATCCTGTCAAATCACAGGTGGAGCAAAGGGCATATGAACACTTGCAAGGGTGGGCTAGACAACCAAAGGAAAGGGGCTGCCTAAGTGTATGTGACAGATCTTCCGCGTTCAGTTTTAACACATGCAGGTGTCATGTCACCAGGCCCCACAATGTCTCTCCAGGCCTCTACCACAAGCTGCCTCCTGAACAGCACTCATTATTTCCAGGGCTGCAGTCTCGACAACCTAGGCTCATTGGGGAAAGGGCTGTTTCCATCCCTGTATGTGACTGGCCAGAGCCATACCCTTTCTTCAATGCAGGTGCTTGAGGTGTGTCTTGGATGATTTTTTAAACGCAGAGGGAAATTGTTTGAAGATGCTTTTTACTCAAGGTAATGGAACTGTGCCTCTATCCCTCAGTTTTTTCCTTGCCATTTTTCCTTATTTTCCAAATTTTCTTCACTGAGCGTATGAGAAATATGCTTTTTTATATGCTTTTACAATGGGAAAAACAAATGATGATTGCAGTTTTTAATAATAAGACATCCTATCAAATGCTTTCTAATGTATAGACCACAGGTTCCTGGAGTTCTTTTATGGTATCAAGCATTGTCTAGAGTTGAATAAATATTCACGTATTTATTTTACATGTATTACTCTTTTCAGATGTAGACTGATAATAATATGATCAAAAAATACAGATATCACTTAAAAGTTCTCTTGGTAAAACAGTATCTTGTGAGACTAAACTGGCAACCACCATGAAAACCAGCAAATGCAACTGTGGGCATTAACCCAGAGAAGCCCATACAGGAACGTGCATAGCAGTTTTATTTATAATGCCTGAAAACTGAAATCAGCTCAAATGTCCTTCAATAAGCAGTTGAACAATGATACCTACATATCACGAAATACTGCCTAGCAATAAAAAGGAAAAAATTATTAAAATACAAAATGACTTGGAGCGATCCCAAAGGAATCATGTTAATAAAAATAAAATCAATCTCAAAAAAAGTTTATAAACTATACATTTCATGCATATGACATTCTTAAAATAAGAATTATAGAGGCGGGGACAGATCAGTGATAGCTAGGAGTCAGGGATCAGATGGGAGAAGATGAAGGTGCAACCATGATGGGGTGGCATCAAGGAACTTTGTGACGATGGAATAGCTCTGTACCTTGACTGCAGTGGTGGTTACACACACACACACACACACACACACACACGTGCACGTGCGTGCACACAGGACATGAAAGTGGTGCTATCTAATGGTGCTGTGTTTGACCCACAGCACCACAAAAATAAATAAAATGAGCTGTGTGCCTCATAGTACTGTTAATTTCAGGTTGTGTTACTGTATCATAATTCAGCAAGAAGAGGAAGCTGGTTCAGGAGTACAAAGAACCTCCCTGCACGTTTTTTTCCCCTACTTCCTATGACTCTATAATTACTTCAGAGTGATTTATTATAGCTCTTGCCAATTAAATAATAAATTAACAGAGAGCTATTACCCTGTACTGGAGATAAATTTTTAATTTGAAAAAGGAACAAACAAAATCACCAAGAACTGGGGAAGACACGGGGTACCCCTTGAGGAGCTGGGAAAATTGTTGCGACCACTTTGGAAATACTGGGCAGCACTAGTAAAGTTCCAAGTGTGCATGCAGCAGGCTCATCAATTCAACCCCAGGCTCCTAGAAATTGACACATGGATGCACTCAGAAACAGGTACAAGAATGTTCAAATATTATTTGGAAATAGAAAAAAAACTGTATGCTCAGTGCTGTAACACCATCCAGCAGTGAAAAAAAGAACGTGCAACTCCACGTCAGTAGGCAGGTGAAGCTCAAAAAACAGTGCTGGACAAAAGAGTATACAGAGACATCAACTGAAGTCATGTCAACAAGCAGAGCAAAATAATATGGCATTTAGGGATACACGTTGTTATGCAGACTGTAAAGATAAGCAAGGACAAGGACTGATGATTCTCAGGCTAGTGACAACCTGAGAATGGGAGAAGAAAGAGGCTAGAGAAAGGCCAGGCAAGGATTCCAGGGCACCTTGCTACATGGCTCTCTCAAGTGGAGCAGTGAGAACCAGGTGTTCGTTCTAGTCTTTTTAAAACTATCCACACAGGCAGTAAGTACACCCTTTGTGTACATTGGTTTTATAACATATAAAACGATATGTTTTTGTTTATGTGTTTGTGTGTGACGCTGTGAGTGGAACTCAGGGCTTCCTGCATGCTAAATAGGTGTTCTATCATTGAGCTACATCCCCAGCTCCTAGTGTGTGTTTTAAAACAGTTATAATCAACTTTGTTTTGTACTTTACTTACTTGGCTGCACCATCATACATATATGTGCACAGTTAATAAGTCAACAGCATAACAATAGTACATATTCCAATTAATAATAATAATAAAAGAGGTCTCCGTACCACAATGATGGCAATCCTTCCTCCAACGTCACCAACGACTGTGATCGGGGGCTTTTCTTTAGGAATCAGCACTGGTCAGAATAAAATACATACAGCAAAGTTGTATTTATTATTAAAAAGTAAGTCTTCAAGAAGTTAATGTCTCATAATTAAAAACTCCCCACACACTAGGAAGAAAAGGGAACTTCCCTAATTTCATAAAGAACAACTGGGATAAATAAAGAATTAAAAAAAAAAAAAAGAGTAACAACCCAATTAAAAATTGGACAAAGGATACAAATACTTGAAAACATGAAGGTATGTAACATCATTAGTCATGAGGGAAAAGCAAACCAAAATCACAATAAGATGCTATTTCACACTGACTACGACAGTGATAATAATAATTTAAAAAATCAGAAAATAAGCACTAAGCATTAGAGATATTGAAACCCTTGTGCATTGCTAACCCTAATCCTAACCATTTTAATGGTACCCTGGGAGTTCCCCCAAAAGTTCAACACAGAATTACTAATTACCAGTCCCATTCCTCAGCATAAACCAAGAGCAAGGGAAGCTATGTGCCTACAGGCGCTTGTACATGAATGCACAAGGCAGCCTTTCCTCCCAAAGGTGGAAACAACTCAAGTCTCTATGAAATGATGAATGAACAGTGTGACACAATGACACAATGGAACTCAAGCACCTTGGGGCAGGATGATTTATAGGCTCTGCTGCCCACATCCTGGAGCAGTGCTGCTGGACTGCCCTATCAGTGGCTCAGGACGCTCCTCTGGATGGCATGGGCAGTAAACCACGGGGGCATCTCTGTGCAGTACGTCTCCATGGCTGTAGAGGGTATGTGCTGCGAGGCGTGGATGCCTCCACCTAGATAACAAGGATGCCCCGGAGAGCCTTGGGGCCCAGACAGAAAAGAGGTACAGGGGTGGTGCTGCCATGGAGAGCCAATACTAGGGCAATGCCCAGTGGAGTCATGGGGGCAGGGCTGCCCCTGAGACCCCAGACTGCTAGAGCCACCAGCATGCAGCTTGAGCCTGAGAAGCGGGCGACATGGGAGAAACACTCCATGAGGGGCCACCCAGCAAGGATGTGGGAGTGGGGCCTCCCAGGGCCTTGCAGGCCCAGTCCAGACACAGTGTGTCAGGAAGGTGGCACATGGAGTCAGAAAAGATTGTTCTGGAGACTTAAGATTTAATGATGCTTACCCTGTTGGGTTTTGGGCTTGGTCGGGACCTGTTCCTTCTCTCGTCTGTTTCTTCTTTTTGGAAGGGAAATGTGCAGCTTAAGTCTGTCCCACCACTACGCTTGGAAACCTATGACCTGCTTAACTTTGCAGGTTCACATCTGGAGTGAAATTTGCTTCAGATGACTCCCATTCATATTTGAGTAAGTGATTTTGCGTGAGACTTGGGGACTTAATGCCAAAACTAAGCTAAGATTTAACTGGAGTCGACACTGGGCACCATGGATGGGATGCATTGTATTTTGCAATGAGGTGGCTGTAAATTTCAGGGGTGGGGTGGGGGTTGAAGGTGAAATGGTGTGCTCTCATGGCTGCTTCCCTCCTGATTCATTTTGTTACAGCAGCCTGAGCTAAGATGGGTCGATATACAATCTTGTATGCTGCCTTATTCACTTACATTGCTCAGATTTCCTTGTTTCCAGGTGGAATTGATTATTTCACAGGCTGCATAATTAGCCACACCGACACAACATAATTTATTAAGCCCTATCCTCTGCTAGATCAATTAAACATGTCCAAAATTTTGCATAAAATATAATACTGTGGTGAATAACTTTTATGTAATAATAAGCTTTTCACTTTCATTAAAGTACACTCTAAGGTATACTGCTGAATGAATGAATGAAATTTCCTAAAGTACCACATGGAGTTTAAAGAGTTTGAACATCTTCCTAGGCCTTGCAATGACAGGATGAACTGCTTTTAGAGGGCTCTACTACTCAGGCCTGCAAAAGTGCATCATTATAGTGAAGCCAGGAAAGGCATGAATCAGCTTTTATGCCAATCCAAAAAACAAAAAGAAAAGTTCACATTAAAAAACAACAAACAAATAGCACACTTCAGTTAGCTATACAATCAGGGGAAAGTGACAAAGAGATGCTGCAGCACTTACTGGGGATCTCTAAGCTGGGGTGGATGGCAGCCACACTCCTGACCATGGGTGGGGAGTGCCGTCCATCAACCAAGTCTGACTCAGCATCCTGTGCTTCTCCATGAATCACAGCGATTCCCAGGCGGAGGCGCTCAGCAAAAGACTGTGCCCTGAGGAAAAGCATTAGATGCAAAATCAAAACTCATGTAGCACCTGTTCTTTGCCCATGTATTGGGGGGGGGGGCATCCTGAGGACACAAGTTAGATGCAGTTTTCAAAGGAATAATGATAAAAAGAGAATAAAATAACCTCCAGAATATCTGAATGCAGGATTAAGTATGGAGAGACCATAACAGATGTGCCCCTCTGGCTGTAGGCACAAATGGTGGGTGGCAGCCTGGTCTTACCTGCAATCAATCACTAAGACAGCCTGATTATGTTAGGTAATTGCCTCTCAGCCTCAGTTCCTCTCCTGTCACTACTCATGCTACTTACCTTCCTTTCAAAACCACATGAGACATAGCACATCAAATATTTGTCAAAGTATTATGCATTAATTTTTAAATAGATTTATGAAGTATGATGGAGATATGAGAAACTGCACTTTTAAAGTGCACAATCTCATAAGTGTTGATATATGTACGCCCACAGAAGCATTAGCACACTGAAGACAATGAACTCTACATCACTGTAGAGCATATTCTTGTGTTTCTTTGTAATTCCGCAGTATGTATTCTGTTGTCTGACTTCTTTCACTTAACATAATGTTATACTGTCTTTATCAAGAGTTCACTCCTTATTTTCAATGCCGAGTAATACTCCACTGTATGAATATATTGCAGCTTAACCATTTACTTTGTGATAGATTTTGGGTTGCTTCCAGCTGTTTTAGCAAATGAAGCTGCTAAGAACATTCATGGGTTGACCTCTGTATAGGCATATGCTTTCATTTCTCTTGGGTAAATACCTAAGAAAGGAATGGCTGGAACACATAGTAACAATATATTTAACTCTTCGAAAGATGGCCAACCTGTTTTCCAAAGTAGTTATACCATATTACATTCCCATGAGCAGTATTGAGAGTTCCAGTTCCTCCACATCCTCAGCAACACTTGATATGGCCAGTCATTTAATATAATCCATTCCAAAAGTGTGTGGTGGTACATCATGCTGGTTTAATTTGGATTTTCCTAATGGCATTCAGCATCTTGTCATGTTCTTACCTGCCATCCATATATATTTTTTGCTAAAAAATTTGTTTATCCCTTGCCAGTTTTTTTTAACAGGTTGTTTGTTGGTATAATTAGCTCTACTGACCCAACATAATTTACCATGCTCTGTCCTCCGCTAAACCACCTATTTTGCGTGAAATATAACACTATGGTGAATAGCTTTTTAAAATGAAAACTTTTTGCTTATGTTAACATACACTCTAGGATATACTAGGATACTCTAAGATATGACCAACTTTTTTCTCTCACGAACTGAGTTTTTGGTGTCATATCCAAAAATATAATTGCCTAGGAAGTGGAGATGTAGCTTAGTAGTACAGCACTTGCCTAGTGTACATGAGGTCCTTGGATTCAATCCCTGTTACCTAGCCCACTGCCCCCCCCGCAAAAAAAAAATAAAAGAAAAAAGAGTAACAGCAAACCGCAAATCATAGACATCTTGCCTCATTCTTGATCTTAGGGGAAAATTGATCAATCTTTCAGTAGTAAGTGTGATGCTGGCCGTCAGTTTTTCAGATTCTCTTAAAAGTTTTCATCAGGAATAGAACTTAATTATCCCATTCAAATAGAATTGAATTATGCCAAAAGCTTTTTGAGTCTACTAAGATAATGATGCAGTTTATCTTTTTTAGTTTGTTAACATGGTGAACTACATTTATTGAATTTTTAAAAATGTTAATCTAACCTTATGTTCCTGGGATGAACTTCAAATGGTTAGGATGCACTGACCTTTTATATATTGTTGGATTCAGTTTGCTAAAACGTTGCTTAGGATTTTTACAACTATGGTCATAAGGATATCAATCTGTAGTTTTCTTTTCTTGTATGTCTGTGTCTAGTTTTCCTATCAGGGTAATGATGGCCTCAAAGAATGAGCTGGAATCTTTCATCTTCTGTAACAGTTCACGTAGAATTAGTATTCTTTCTTTCTTAAGTGATTGGTAGAATTCACCACTGAAATCTGGGCCTCAGAATTTTCTCTTTTGGGGGTCTGGGGGTGTAGCTCAGTGGCAGAGCAATTGTGTACTGGGCTGCATCTCCAAAAAGGCAAAAAAGGAATTTTCTTTGTAAAGGTTTTCACTTCACTTTCCTCAGTAAGTATAGGCTATTCACGTTACCTGGTTCTTCTTGAGAAGGTTTTGGTAGTTTTCAAGCAATTTGTCCATTTCACCTAAGTTGCAGATTTACTGGAATAAATTTAATATAGTATTCTCTTATTATCCTTTTAATACCTGTAGTTTGTGGTATCTCTCATTCCCAGTACTGGTAATCTTTATTCTTTCTCCTGACTGACTGGAAAAGGTCTCATCAATTTTACTCTCAAATAACTGGCTTTCAGGTTTCATTGCTTTTCTCTACTGTTTATTTTCTATTTTACTGATTTGTGCTTTAACTTTATTATTTTCTTTCTTATGCTGACTTTGTTTTTTTTTCCCTCTACTACTTCTTCTTGGGTGCTGAGGATGGAAACCAGGGTCTTGCATGCTACCACTGAACTAGATCCCAAGCCCCTCTTATTTTGTTTTTTATTTGCTTTTCTTTTTCTAGAAAGTCTCTTAAGGTACAAGCTGAGATCACTGATTTGAGATCTTCTTTTCTATTACAAGTGTTTAGTCCTACAAATTTCTCCCTAAGTAGAGTTTTAATCACAAATTTTGATGTGCTGTGTTTTCATTTTCATTCAGTTCTAAATACTTTCTGATTTCCTTCTTGATTTCTTCTTCAACCCATGTGTTATCTAGAAGTGTGTGAGTTAGTTACCACATACTCAAGACTTCTATTATTAGAATTATTCTTAATTCCAGTGTGGCCACAGAAATTATTTTGTATGTCTTAAATCATTACTAATTTGAAGCTGTTTTTCATGTCCCAATATTGGCCTTAGTAATATATGTGTGCTCAAAAAGAATGGATCTTCTGCGTCCCTGGATGGAGTGTTCTAAACTGTGGAGTAGAGCCCCCCTGGTTGACAGGATCTTTCAAGTCCTCTGCAGCCTCACTGATTGTCTACTTGTTTTATTTACTATTGTCAGAGGAATAATGGAATCGCTAATGATCATCTTGGACAAATAAATTTCTCCTTGCAGTTATTGAGGTCGGCTTCATACATTTGAGGCTATGTTCCCAGTTCATAATGTTTAGGATTATCACAAATTCTTGAACAAATAAGCCCTTTTTCATTATGAAAAGATGTTCTTTGTCCCCAGCTATATTCTTTGCTCTAGTTGGTTTGATATCAATGTAGCCAACCCCATTTTTCCTTAAAAAAATTAGTCTTACCATGACATATAATGTTCTATATTTTTTCTCTTAACCTATGTCCTCCTCCTCACTACCTTGTGCCCTGCTTCATTAGGTCCCCAGCCACAGCATGTCCACCTCCCCAACTGGCCAGATTCCTGAGCATAATACTGGGTTTCATTTTGTCTTCCAACCCCAACAACCTAGTACACAACAAATATTCACGTCTTAAGGACACAATGAGTTCTCCCAGTTTTGGTTTTCCAACACCAAAAATTCAAAACATGCTCTTATCTAACAGTTTACAAGAATAGCTAAAAACAAAAAAGAAAAAATGTAGATTATACCAAATTCTCATCAGTATTATCAACACAAGACACATCCAAGGCATTTCCATGACACATGAAGAGCAAAGCCCTGGAAAATGCAAAATCCTGTTCTCTAGAGGGACAGAAATCTCACCTCTGTCAGGTTTCCTATGTGCACTAAAGAAAGCTTGGTTACAGTGTTAAGTCAAGGAATTAACTTCAGGCTTAAATCATTCTACTTCAAGATAAAGTTAAATTTTGCTTCTTTCAGTAGAAAGCATAACATTTTTACCATAGCACATGTAGTTTAACCTTTCCGTGGTATTAAAAAAATCTCAACTGCATATAAGTAAATATCGATTGGTCTGGTCCTACCCATGAGGAATCTGATTTATATTTCTAAGAAAAGGATGTTAAAGACTTCATGGAAGCAGGTCTGTACCACATAATCAATATAAAAGTGTGTGTGTGTGTGTGTGTGTGTGTGTATAGAATAATTGTATTTAGGAAAAGTGAGTCAAATGAAGAAATTTACCAAAAATTTTTAAATATCCCAAAATTTAAGGTTTAGTGTTCAGGGGCTGGGGATGTGGCTAACTGGTGGAGCACTTGCTTAATATATGCAAGGCTCTGGGTTAAATCCCCAGCAATGTTAAAAAAAAAAAAAAAAAGAACAAATATATTTAGTATTCATCTAACTTTAAATCCCTTCCTGCAAAAAAATTCAAGCCAGTTTTAAAAGAAATTCTTAGAGAAAAAAACTTCAGTCAAATACAATGGCAGCCTCTGCAGGAAAGTTTGGTACCACACAGATTAGCTCCTCCTTCACTTAAAAGTGGCTCTTCAAACAAAAGACCACAGAAGCCCCAACCAAAGTCCACTCTCCAGCCAGAGGACTAAGAAAAGGGCAGCCTGGTGAGTGAGACTACCTGTGGAAGGTCCTCGTTCTAGCCAAACACCACAGAATAATCTGCAGCCTGTGTCTCAGTGCTCTGGCTTAGGAGAAGTTCATGGAGACTGGCATCCCCCTCAGGGTAATGAGTGCCCAGCCTGCCAGTGTCTGTGGATGGCAAAACCTGAACTTCCACCCCCATTCAGCAGCGGAGAATGGCCCTCCCAATCTGTCTGGTCAGGTGGGAAACCTCAACTTCTCTCCTCAACCCAGTAACAAGCCCCATAACCTCCCCCACCATTTTCTCTACCAGAGTCAATTAGAGATCAGCAAAAATCAGGTTTTACAAAAGATCCAGACATAAAGACAGATGCAAATATCCAGGTTTTAAAAGAAAATCACTCACACCAGAAGTCAGGAAAATCTCAACATGAGTGAAATCAGCCAATTAACTAACACATGCTAACACCAAGAGTAGTCAACAGGCTATAATTATATGATGACAATTTAAAGCTTCCATCAAAAGAATATGACAGGGGCTGGGGTATAGCTCAGTTGGTAGAATTCTTGCCTCCCATGCACAAGGCCCTGGGTTCAATCCCCAGCACCACATATACACACACACACAAACACACAAACACGACAAAGAATAATTATGACATGCTTAAAAGCAATGGAAAAATCAGAAAGCCTATGCAAAGTAATAGGTGTCAGCAAAGAACTGGAAAATATATAAAAAAATAATTTTAGGAGTTAAAAAAAATAACCTGTGATTGGGAGTTAGTGGTAGGTTAGTGGTAGAGTGTGTGCTTAGCATGCTGGAAGCCCTGGGTTCTATCCCCAGCACCAAAAAACAAACAAAAAACAACCATTAAATTAAAAAGCTGTTTTGACCTCAACTGAACTGATAGCTGCTGTCCCCAGCAGCCACCAGATGCTTGGCAGAAAAGCATTTAGCAGGAACTCTCCCAGACTTGTGAATACCATGAAGGAAATCAGGCCTGCAACACTGACACAGGCCACGTGGATAAGCCTTGAGGACAGATGCTGAGTCAAACAAGCCAGTCCCAGAGGGCCACGCACTGAGATTCCATTTATGAAATATTCAGAACAGGCAAATCGAAACAGGCAGAGATGGAGGGAAGTACGGGCAGGGAATAATTGTGTAATGGGCACAAGGTGTTTTTGTGGGATGATGAAAAAGTTTTATAATTGGAGGCAGGTGGTGGTTGCACAACATGTAAATGCATCAAATGCCAGCAAACTGTAACCTTCAAAATGGTTACTGTACGCCCTCTTTATCCACAGGTTCTGCATCCACATCCATGGACTCAATCAAGGACTGAAAACATTTGAGGAAAAAAAAAATGCATGTGTACTGAACATGCAGACTTTTTCTTGTCATTTATTTTAACTATTTACATAGCATTTACATTGTATTAAGTTTTAACCATATGAAATTCAGACATAATTTAAAGAATACAGGAGGATGTAGCATAGGTCGTATTCAAATACTATGCCATTTCACATAAGGAACTTGAGCATCTGTGGATTTTCGTATCAAAAGGGTGTCCTGGAACTAATCGCCTGCAGATACCAAGGGACAATTATATATCATATGTTTCTCAGAAGCATGAAAATCAAAGAAAAATAAATAAAAATCAGCCTTTAAACAAATGTTTAGAAAAGCTGTTTGAAATGTTTATATTCTGAAATGCATCAAGATTTCCTACAACTTAATCAAATGGACAAGAAAAGACCCAATGATAAAGCTTACAGAAGGTATGTGGGGCGGTGACACAGGCCTGGATATGGTTAGGAGGCAGGCCATAGAACAGGGTCTCATAATCGTTTTGGCCCAACACCAATTTATTTTTTTTTTAAATATACTAAGTGTATACACTGTCAGGCTTAATTGATAATATCAAACAACTTATCTGTAAGATTTACGAAATCATGGCTTACTAAGAACCACACTCATTCTTTAATATTAACAGCACCTGGGCCCAGTGTGGAGGTACTTTATGTCTTCTATCACGCCACAGGACTCAATAGATAAGATATATCAGAGATAAGATATTCAATTGGAAAATCATTTTAGAAGACCTTTTTTTTTTTTTTAAAGGAAAAAAGCCTTTATTCCTACCTGTGCTTTTGTTCTTTCCCTCTCCAATGGACTGGCTTCTCTAGAAAATAATGCCACATGAAATTCTGTCATCCAAAATCCAATTTTAAGTACTGTATCCCTGACTCGGCACTTACTGCAGGCTAAACATAACTCAGTACAGACTCGGGGCTGCCCACTCTGTATAGCTCAGGGTGTTTGTTTCTTAAAATGTTACCTTTTAACATGTGCAAATAAGTGGCCTCTCAACTGGATAAATTTCTGTTAATAAATCACTTAGTTCTTTGAATAAGAGGCAGCAAACAACCACAAGGTATATTCACCAGTATTTTAAGTGGCAGACTTAAAGACCCATAAGTGCTTGCCCATCTGGAAGGGAAGGAGGTGCTAATTAGTATTCCCCAGAACCTGGATGGCTTTGCTCAAGAAATATGACTGGCAGTCACAGGCTGGGATGGGTGGGGTGGGGTGGAGAAACTGAGTTGGCAGGATAATCTTTAAAATCAGTACATGGAAGAGAAAGAAGGGTTTCTAGGGGTACTACTGACATCTGGTTGGGAACTCCTGGGAGTTGATCAGAACCATCCTCAGAAGCTGAACCAAGGACAGGTATGAGGTCCCACCTACCTCTTGGCCGAGGCTGGAGACTTGGCCACGATGACTGCATTCCTGTAATCTGGGATCTGTGATAGACAAGAGTTTGGGGATTACCACCATGTCTCTAAGAGGTCATGCTGACAGTCAGTGAAAAAGAAGGTTCCTAAAGACTCAAACTGTCCTATGATTCCTTGGAAGTTTTGCAAAAAGAGAAGTTCAAAACAAAGTCTTTTTTGGAAACTGAAGGAATGCCGACCTACTAAGGTGTGAGACTCAGAGATTCCTTTTAAGAGAAAAATAGGATAATCAGTGATTAGCTCACATATTTACACCGACAAATAACTGATATAAAGAGGATTCTATAAAGTCAACAGAAAATCCTCTCATGATTCCCAATTACATGCAGTTTCACAGTACAAGTAGGATAGTCACTCAATTCAAATCCAAGTTAACTGTCAAATTTCAAATTACTGTGGTCCAGAGATGACTATTCAACATATTGTAGTCACTACATGCCGAATGAACCAATTTTGGAAAGGAAAATCAGCCCTGTACTATTTTAATAAGAGCCTAAAACCAAAAGCAAACTAACAAAACCAATTAAAGTATCAACCCCACTTACGGTGGGGTTCCTGAGGGACTAAACTCATGGGAACTTCACCACTGAGCTATGTCCCCAGCCCTTTTTTCTATTTTTTATTCTGAAGCAAGTGTGAGACTTGTTGTCAAGGTTGACCTTGTCTCATCAAACATCATCATGATGCAATCTTCCTGCCTCAGTCTCCCAAACTGCTGGAATTACAGGCATGTGCTATGGTCCCTACCTGAAATCTTTTTAATGTTGAAAACTGATGTAATATGTGCTAGTGATGTAGTGATGATTAAAGTCAAAGATGTACCCATTTTCAAGGTCTAAGTGCATAGAAGATAATTTTTTTTTTTTTTTGTACCAGGGATTGAACTCAGGGGCTCTCCACCACTGAGCCACATCCCCAATCCTATTTTGTATTTTATTTAGAGACAGGGTCTTAATAGTTTAGCGCCTCACTGTTACTAAGGTTGGCTTTGAACTTGAGATCCTCCTGTCTCAGCCTCTCAAGCAGCTGGGATTACACGTGTGCACGCCCAGTTTATAAACTGTTTTGAAAATAAGTTGCAGTTTGTTTCTAACTTCAACTTAGCAGTATTTTCAAATTATGTTCTCCCCATGGTTTTCCTTTCCTTTCCTTTCTTTTTTTTTTTGGTAGTACTGGAGATTGAACCCAGAGGAGCTTTACCATTGAGTTACTTCCAGATCTTTTCATTTTTAAGACAGGGTCTAAGTTGCCCAAGCTTGTCAAGAATTTGTGATCCTCCTATCTTTGTCCCCTATGTTGCTAGGATTATAGCGTGCACCACTGTGCCTGGCTTCCAGTGTTTTCTTGTTCTCACAATTTACCAGTCAGTTTTAATATCAGCAGTAATAACGCCTAACACACTGTATGATGCCTACCATATGAGAAACTTTGTAAATGAACAAAAAATTGATTCACTTAAGGATACACAGGTGCATTTGTCATGAGCATATGGATCAGTGCATCCACAGGAAAGCCTAGCTCTTCCTGTGTTCTCAGGGAGGAAGGCAGAAAAACATATTTTCACTTGGGCACTTCTTTATTTTTTTGGAATTCATTTGAAATGATCTCATGTATTTCCTTGTCTCATCAAACATCATCAACTAGCAAAAACCCACCCTAGAGAAGATATAACAACCAAGGAAACCATTAGTAAAACAAATAAAAGGACTCTAATCAAAACATGCCTATTGTCTCTTCCAAGGTTACACAGGAAATCATACATTTGAAGGAGGAACAGTTGTAATGAGAAAGAACAAAAAACAAGTCATAGCAGGGATAGTGATGCACACCTGTGGTTCCAGCTATCCAGGAGGATGAGGCAGGAAGATCAGTTATTTGAGCCTAGGAGTTTGGGACCAGCCTGGGAAACATAGCAAGACCCCATCTCAAAAATAAACCAACAAACAAATGGGGGAAGAGAAGAAATTATAGTCTATATTATCTTCTGAATTAGCACTTTAATTTTTTGGGGTTATATAACATGAAATAAAATAAGTAATTATTACAGATTTTTCTCTTTCCAAAATTTTTGAGTCATTTTCACTATGAGGGCCTAAACTGATAGTTGGAATGTAGGGAAGGCCTCAAATCTTACCAGAAAAAGTTTTTTTTTTGAGGTCAATAAACTGCTGTCTTTTAAGTATAGTATTGTAAAAGGAAGTTATTTGGAAAAGTTACTGAAGAAAGAAATAATTCATGTGAGACAAAGAGTTCCTAAAATAAAAATCTAAGTACAATACAAACCAAAATTTAAAAGGCTTCTTTATGTAAAAAGTCACAAAGTGCTCTTATGTCAAAGAATAACATATATGACTAATAAAATTGCACAAATCTGATTTACCCAATAATGAAAGGGTGGTTCAACTTGAGAAAAATAAATTCAATACACTACATTAATAAAATAAAGGAATTCTCGGTGCGTGCGCACGCGCGCGCGCACACACACACACACACACACACACACAAACAGAATTAATAAAGGAGGAAAACGTACAATTATTTCAATACAGAAAAAGCATTTGATAAATCCAATACCTTTTCATGATAGAAGACTCAGAAAAACCAGGAATTGCAGGGAATTTACCTGATATGATAAGGAGTATTTATGAAAAACCCATAGCCAACATCAGACTTAATGGTGAGTGAAAGCGTTTACCCTTAAGTTCATGATTGAAACAAGAATAACACTTTCACTACTTGTGTTTAAAATGCACTGAAAATTCTACCCGGAAATATCAGGCTTGAAAAGGAAATGAAAAAAACTCAAATTGGAAAGGAAGAGGTCAAACTAATTCCATTTGTAAGTGACCTGTTCTCATACGCAGGAACAATAAAGAATACAACCTCGACCCCCTGAAAACCCACAACAAACTACTATAGCTAAAAAATGAATGTTGCAGAATTGCAGGGTACAAGAGCAACATGCAAGTATCAGTAGTGTTCCTAAATTCCACCAATGGACACTCCAACAAACAAACAAAATTCTACTTGCAGTAACATCCAAAAACTAACAAACTTGGGAATAAATTTAACTTAGGCTAGAAAGTGAAAGATTTGTACACTGAAGAAACTGATATCTAAATACACGGAAAGAAATGTTGTATTCATAGGTAGAAGATTAAATATTAAGATGGCAATACTGTCCAAAATGATTCACAGATTTAATACAATCCCCATCAAAATTTGAGATATGGCTTATGATTGCAAATCAAGCAAGGTTAAGTCACCATGAGGCCTAAATGACTTTGTCTTCTTGGAGATTCTTCACATCTCCTCTCCAATTTAATTCAATAACAGATGTAATACTGGAGGTGAGGTCATGCATGGATTCTGTATTACAGTCTAGAACTAATGGTGTTAAAATACATTTAGATAGGAAGAATCCAGTGGAGAAAGGTGGGTAGGGAAAGTTTTGAAGCTCTATTGTGAATTACAAAGTGAAGGCAATGTATTTTATTTATGTATTTATTTATTTATTTTATTTGTGATTTTTAGATATACATGACAGTAGAGTGTATTTTGACGTATCATACATACATGGAGTATAACTTCCTATTCTTGTGATTGTACGTGATATGGCATTACACTGGTCATATACTCATGTATGCACATAGGAAAGTTATGTCTGATTCATTCTACTGTCTTTCCCATTCCCACCCTCCCTCCCTTCCCTTCATTCCCCTTTGAAGTAAAGGTAAAGTTGATTTTAGAAAAATTATTCTATATAGAATTTTTCTGGTCATAACCTGTTCAAAATATAACTGCTTCTGCTTTGTTTTAATCTGGGCTGGGAGAGAGGTGGGTTGACAGGGTTAAGACAAAAGAAAACCATAGTTCGTTGCAGGTATTCTGGTGCTGTCTCCATGAGCTTCACCTCTGGTTTTCCTACTTTCAGTAACCCAAATGAAGAATTTAAAGCTCTTTTATAAAATATTTTGGAAACAAAGAACATTTCATTGACAGTGATTCTAATATTCAGGTAATCAAACCTGATTTTTGCGGATGAATACTTGAATAAAACTCAACATGTTTCTGAAACAGATTGGTATGGAACAAGAATTAGTAGTTTATTTTCAATCCTTGAGTCATTCAACTGGATCAGTTAGAATTTTCCAGGGAAATAATGGCCTGTTAATATTGCCTGGAATAAATAAATGAATTCAACATTAAAAAAAAATTGAGATAAACAGAAAAGCTAATTTGCATAAACAGAAAAGTTGTTCTCAAATTTATATGGAGTCACAAGCTTCAAAGAGACAAAACAATCTTAAAAAAGAACAAAATTGGAGAACTCATAATTCCCAATTTGAATTAAAACTGAGCATGGTATTGGCAAAAGAGAAACATAAAGACCAACTTCAGAGTTCACAGATAAACCAAACATCTATGGTCAATTGATTTTTGACAATAAGGTACTAAAGCCATTCAGTGGGCAGAAGAATAATTTTTAATAAATGGTGATGGACAATTGGATATCCACATACAAAAGAATGAGTGTGAACGCCCACCTTACAACATATATGAAGAATAACTCAAAATGGATTAAGACTTACGCCGAAGAGCTACAACTGTGAGATGTTTAGAAAACAGGGACATATCTTTGCTGAGGGCCATTGCTAAGTAAGAATGACGCATGGCATGACCCAGGTCATTTGCAGTGACAATGCATGTAAGGTGACCTTGCTCAAGGACCAGGGCGGATCCGGGTTTAGGGCGGATCAGGGGTTTAGGGCGTTCCCGGTTTAGGACAATCCGGGTTTAGGGCGGTTCCAGGTTTAAGGTGTACCCTGCTGGGAATAGGGCGTATCCTGCTGCCTCAGGCGCACCTGCTCCTTCAGTTCCCGTTGAGTTCTCGCAGGATTGAGAGAGTATTTGGGATTTTGCCCAGAACGTGATTTGGGCCCAGAACGTGTGTAGAGTGCCGGTGTGAGTTCGGGAATAAAGAATTGCTGTTTGAATCTACAAAGCTATGAGTGGCTCGTGATTTTGTACCCAGCCAGACTGCGGCATATCTTGATAACCTTGGATTGACAGTATATATTTTTTAAAGATAAGACAACAAAAACATAACTAATAATAAAACCTGGACATATGCCTACAGTCCACACGACTACAGTCCCAGTACTGGGGAGGCCAAGGCAAGAGGATAGATTGCTTGGGTCTAGGAGTTCGAGACTACCAGCCTGGGCAACATAGTGAGACTTTGTCTCAAAAAACAAACAAAGGCCATAAATTTGATCCTAGTATTGGAGGGAAAAAATATAGATCAATAAAAAATAGTTAAACAAACTTTATCAAAATTATAAACTTTTGTGCATCAAGGGACACTATCAAGAAAGTGAGGCAATCTGCAGAATGGGGGGAAATACTTGAACATCTTCTACCCAATATAGAGTCTGGTATTCACCAAGTTCAATGGCATTACTTTTTAGGGGATGCAAATAAAAATCACAATTATCACTTCACACCCACCAAGATGGCTATAACCAAAAAATAATCAGAAATAAATGGTAAGAACCACCATATATTCCTGGTTAAGTGAAAGAAGCCAGACAAGAGGATAAACTCTATAATTCCATTTATATGAAATCTCTAGAACAAGCAAATCCCTGGAGACAGGAAGCAGATTAGTGGTTGCCAGGCAACGGGGGCAAAGGGGTGGGTAGGTGGAATGGGGTTACTTAATGGGTTCAGGGTGTTCTGGGGTGATGAAGAACTGGGACTAGATAGAAATAGTGGCTGCTCAACATTGTGAATGAACTAAATGCTACTTATTTTTATGTTTAAATGGTTAATTTTATGTTGTGTGAAATTCACTTTGTGAGACAAATACTTAATATGTTTGCTTCCAACATTCCCCAAACACAACTAAAAGATGGATAAGTTATAAACTGAGAAATCTAAGGGAAATAAATACCAACAAATCAAGAATGAAACAAAGAATGCCTACAACTCAGTAAGAAGCACACAAATGAAACCACTATTAAATAGAAGAAGGGATGTAACACATTTTCAGTGAGGAGGAAAAATATCTGAAGATATATTTGTTCAACCTCAATAGTCATCAGATCCATCCATCAAAGTGACAGGATACCATATCACAGGTATTCAACTAACAAGAGTTTAAAATTTGGTAGCGTAAGCACTGAAGCAAAGATGGATCCACAGGATTTTGATTTCATTGCTAGTGGGAACATAAGTTGGCACAACTGCTCTGGAAAAATCAAACATTCACACAACATGCAATTTTGAAATTTCACTAAGATACAAGGTGGCTTGTGTACCACTGGAGACGTTGAGCATGTTCACAGGAGAGCTATTATGATAGGGAAAGCCTACAAACAACTCATGGAAAAGATTAAGTAGGCTGAGATTCAGCTGCACAAAGAGCACTTCTCAGTAGTCAAATGGATAACTGCATGTACAACAACAGGGATGAGTTCCAGTTGTGTACATACTTCTTACGACATAACACCAAGTGAAATACTCAAAAGATTACAGTTTCTTCTTGTCAAAAGTTAAAAATGTGGGGCTAGGGATGTGGCTCAAGCGGTAGCACGCTCGCCTGGTATGCATGCGGCCCGGGTTCGATCCTCAGCACCACATACAAAACAAAGATGTTGTGTCTGCTGATAACTAAAAAATAAATATTAAAATTCTCTCTCTCTCTCCCTCTCTCACTCTCTCTTTAAAAAAAAAGTTAAAAATGTAAACCTACATATATAATTTAGCATTAGATATATGAACTAAAACTATCTAAAAAGAAAATTCAAGGAAAAATGACAGGAGATTCGGGGCCCTGGGTGGGAGGAGGTAGTGAGATGGGGCAGAGAAGGATCACATCAGCAGATGTGAACTACTGGGATGGTTATCTCCTCTCTCTCTCTCTCTTTTGTACTGAGGATTTAACCCATGGGTGATTTACCACCAAGCTACATCCCCTTTTATAAAATTTTGAGACAGGGTCTGGATGAGTTGCCAAGGCCTAGAACTTGCTGGGATTACAGATGTGTGCCACTGCACCAAGCTAATTTTTGTTTTCTTGTTGGGTGATGGAATTAGGATCATGGGTGTCAACTACTCTGTCTCTGAACAGAGACAGAATGGAGAGATGGAGATATTCATATGAGCCAAGACCACACTTGGACAAATGATGAGACTAACTTATCTTTTATGATAAATGACTAGTCCAATTCTAGGTACTTGAGGTCCAAAAGAAAAGGCAATTTTAAGAGATGAGTAAAAGAGATAAATTACTTATTAAAACATTTAAAATACAGAAATGCATTTGTAAACCACAATAGATCGCTAAACAGGATACAACAAATTTTAATTCTTTAGGGACACCTCAAAGAAATAGAACTATACCTTTACCAGAATATTAAAATAAAAAGTTCAAGTTGGCTCACCTCTTCTTGAATATATTGTAATAGGAAGGGAGATGCTCTTAAATTATCCACAGGAATATTAAAGAAACCCTGAATTTCCTTCTGGTGTAAATCCATAGTAATGAGGTGGGTTAGACCTTCAAAAATAAAGCAGATACAAGCACATAAATAGTTGTAAAACTAGCTGCACCACAGGAAATTAGTATCATGTAAAATAAAATATTATATATAGTAAGTTACCATGAAAAAAATTACTCTTCTATCAAAAAACCCCCAGCATCATTATGGTTCAGATTTTTTGATACTATGAGATGCATGATTTTTAAATAAATTTAAAGTACAAAACAGTAAAGATAATAGTAATAGAGAAATGAATCTAAAAATTCTATGAGAGTGGTTCTATCTATCTCCTTGAATTTTCCTTAATAAGCATAACAAAGCCTACAGAGAAACTATACCAAGCAGGAAATGGAGCAAATGAAAAAACCCTCACTATATCTTTAAAGAATATCTGAAATGATGATCAGCAACGTATAGGGAAAATTCAATATGAAAAAATTTAAAAAGCAGTACTTGCCCAGAAGAGGAAAAAAAAAAAAAAAAAAAAAAAGAGCCTGATGGTTCCTCCAGGTGGAAGGTTGGAAGGAAAGGGTGGACCCAAAAGACTAAGTGAGGAGCCCCGGCTCCTCTTTTCAGTGCCTGTTACAGTGTTTTCAAGGGGAGATGCTGCCGAGGTCCCTGGGGTTAGTTTCATTTTTGCCTTCTTTGGAATGGTACACTAAAAAATATATTCTATGGTAAGCATCTGTGTTAAAATGCAGCGATATGGGGGATTTTTAAATTCCTCTTTGTGCTCTGTGATATGTACCTTATAATCATATACTCACAAGCACACATGGACATATAGGAGAGTGTTTGCACATGTACAAACACATACAATGGAAACTATGTAGAATATTTCGAAACAAGTGGACATATTTAGGATGCTACCTAAGAATGCATAACACAAAAAAATACACACTGTTTGCAAAATATGCCTGTCCTGGAAAGGGAAAAGGCTAAAATACAAATAGTTGCTGTGTTAAGAGAAACATCAGGGTTCAGAACGACTGTCATCCTTCAAAACAAGTTTAATGTCATTTCAATATAAATTTGAACAAAGTTTTTAGGAAAAAATGAAAACAAAAGTTTTTCTCATTACCTCCATGTTTTAGGGAGTCGGAAACAGAATTCTCTGCAGAATTTCTCATTATTAGTCCCCTTATAGTGATTTTAGTTACCCATGGTCCAAAAAGATTATATGGAAAATTCCACAGGTAAGCAATTCATAAATTTTAAATTGCACATTGTCCTGAATAACACTATGAAATCTCATGATATCCTGCTTTGTCCTATTTAGGAGGTACATCATCCCATTATCCAGTGTATCTATGCTACAAATGTTATCCACCTGAAGTCACTTAGTAGCCATCTCAGTTGAGAGATCTGCTGCCCCAATACTGCAGTGCGCCTATAGAGTTTACTAGCACTCACTGTTTCAGGTACTGGGGGTCATGGCATATCTCTCTTGTGGAGAAGGATGGACTGCACAAACTAGTGGGGTTTAAAAGCAGCATCACTGTTTTTCCTCGGTTCAGCATTCTCATTTGCTTAAGAGAATGCTTTGAAATGATTTCTGTAAAAATAAACTCCCAAGCTCCCAGTCAGTTGTCAAGGATCTGCCTTTCTTACCAGCTTTGCACATCATGGAGGCCAATAATTTAGAGACAATGGAGCCTCTTTTCCTCATCTTGCACTGTTTGCTGTAAGGAAAGTAGGGGATCACGCCGATGATGCTCTTGGCACAAGAGGTCTTACATGCGTACACCATAATCAGGAGCTCCATGATGGTGGTGTTCACATCCCTGTAACCCAGGCACAGAAAATCCCATTGAGGGGTGTGAGACTTAAGATTTCCCTTCTGATCTGGGGATGTAGCTCACTAGTAGAGCATGCTTAACATGCTTGAGGCCCTGGGTTCCATCCCCAACACCAAAATAATAACATTATTATCTCCCTGTTCTAAGACTTGAGGTGTAAAACACAGAAACCAGTGATGTCTTCTCTTCTCATATCTCCATGAGCTCTCCACACATTTCCTCTCAACAGATGACTTTAGTTTCTTTCCCCCCCCCGCCAAGACCAGCATTGTTCAGCAGGCAAGAGGCAATAGGGATTAGAGTTAATTTTGGAGTATTTCTGGTGTGCAAAATTCCTCTCTGATTAATGGCACAACACAGGTCAACTTGCATGGTGCAGATGCACCTGGTGGTAGGCTACCATGGAAGCTGTCTTCTGACAGAGTACTGGTCTCAGAGATAACTCCAAAATTACACACTACTCCCCACCCACTCCTGGTTCCTGGAAGATCTTGCTCCAGAATCCTCCCTCCCCAGAGATGGGAGTTCAAATCATTCCCACAGGGGTAAAAGGACCTCTTCCCAAAGGAACAGTAGGCTTATTATTGGGACGCAGCTCTTCTACTCTAAAAGGACTTATGATAAGTCCTGGGGTAATTGATCCCGATTATGAATGTGAAATAAAAATTATAGCCAGTTCTCCAAAGGGTATATCAGTAATTTCACCAGGAGATAGAATAGCACAGTTACTAATAATACCCAGCCTACATGATATATTTTCCAGTCGTACTGTAGAAAGAGGTTCCAAGGGATTATGCTCCACAGGTGTAGATTGGGCTATGCTTCCTTTAAATTTAGATTCTCGCCCCATGCTAAAACTAAATATTCAAGGACATGAATTTAATGGGCTACTGGATACAGGTGCAGACCTTAGCATCATCTCTCATCAAGAATGGCCAAAACATTGGCCATTACAACAAGCCACTCAATGCTTCGAGGCCTAGGAGTGGCGACTAATCCCCATAGAAGTGCAATGGTATTAGATTGGAAGGATCCTGAAGGATGTGAAGGAACTATACAGCCATATGTACTGGATCATCTTCCCGTAAATTTATGGGGACGAGATGTCCTAGATCAATTAGGTTTGACATTAACAAATAACATCAATCAAAATGCACCCACTATTATGGCTACACAAGATTTTAGGAAAGGAAAAAGATTAGAAAAACAAGAATAAGGTATAGCAGTACCAATACAAATAGATCAAGGCGGACAGACATGGGTTGGATTTTCAGAAAGGGCCACTGAGACAATAAAAATTACTTGGAAATCAGAAAGACCAGTATGGGTTCCTCAGTGGCCCCTGACTAAAGAAAAGATACAAGCAGCCCATGACCTGGTCAAACAACAATTAGCGGAAGGACATATACAACCTTCTGTATCTCCCCATAATACTCCCATTTTTGTCATCAAAAAGAAATCTGGTAAATGGAGATTATTGCAAGATTTAAGAGCCATTAATAATGAGATGGTTATTATGGGATCTGCTCAATCGGGGATTCCTCAATTGTCTGCTTTGCCAAAAACCTGGTATGTTTTAGTTATAGATATTAAAGATTGTTTTTTTTTTCAATTCCAATTCATCCTGAGGATAGTCCACGTTTTGCATTTACTATCCCTACACTAAATCATGAAGGTCCTGATCAGAGATATGAATGGAAAGTACTCCCTCAAGGGATGGCTAACAGCCCAACTATGTGTCAAATCTATGTTAACAAAGTAATCCAGCCACTTAGAAATCAAAATCCTGAACTACAAATATTTCACTATACGGATGATGTATTATTAGCACACAAAGATAAAAACACATTGCTAGAATGTTATGCCACACTTACAAACTTATTAAAAAATTATAATCTAGAGATAGCAATAGATAAAGTACAATTAAATTTTCCAATTAATTATTTAGGAGTTCTATTATCCTCAACCATGGTCCGTCCACCAAAAATTCAAATACAAGTAGATCAACTCAAATCACTTAATGACTTTCAAAAGTTATTAGGAGACATAAATTGCATAAGGCCTTATCTAGGTGTACCAACAGGAGAGTTGGAACCTTTATTTGATATCCTAAAAGGTCCATCAGATCCAAATTCACCCCGAATGTTAACGCCTGAAGCAAGAAAGGCATTAAAAATCATTGAAACATATATGGAAAATATGCATTTGGATAGAATTGATATAAGTTTGCCTTTATTATTTATTGTACTACCAACAAAAAATATTCCTACAGGAGTATTTTGGCAAGAAGGTCCATTATTATGGATACATTTATCTTATTCTCCTAACACTATTCTTACTAGGTATCCTGAGGCTGTAGGACAATTAATACTCAAAGGAATAAAAGCAGCAAAGGGAGTGTTTGGAATTTCTCCCAATAAAATTATTACTCCATATACTATGAATCAAATTGATGAGTTAGCTAATGAGTTAAATACTTGGGCAATAATCATGTGCAAATCTAATGTTTCATTTGATAACCACTTACCATCTAATCCTTTATTGTCTTTTTGGTCACCGCATCCTGTAATTTTTCCAGAAATGACAAGAAAAACACTTATCATGAATGCTCCAAATATATTCACTGATGGGTCAAATAATGGTACAGCAGCAATAGTTACACCTGATCAAACTTTTACATTTTTAGTACCCAAACAATCAGCTCAAAAGGTAGAGCTTAATGCAGTATTACAAGCTTTTGTGATGTTTAAAGATTCTGTATTTAATTTATTTTCCGATAGTCAGTATATACTTAATGCTATAGTATCCCTTGAAGATGCTGGTAGGATTTCCCCTTCTTCTACTGTTTTCTCTTTACTTTCCACTATACAAAGTCTAATCTGGGACAGAAAAGATCCGTTCTTTATAGGACATATCAGGGCACATACAGGATTGCCTGGAGCCCTTAGTTTGGGCAATGATTTAGCAGATAAAACTACACATGACATACATATTTTCTCTACACTAGAAGAAGCTACAAATTTTCATAAAAAGTTCCATGTCAATGCTAATACTTTACAAAAGCGTTTTAAAATAACTAAGGAACAAGCTAGACAAATAATAAAACAATGTCAAAATTGTGTGACCTTTTTACCACAAGTTAATCTTGGAGTCAATCCTAGAGGATTGATACCTAACCATATTTGGCAGATGGACGTCACACACTTGCCAGAATTTGGAAAATTAAAATATTTGCATATTACAGTTGATACTTCTTCTGGATTTTTGATGGGCTCCCTTCATGCCGGAGAAAAAACTAAAGATGTTATAGCTCATTGCTTACAAAATTTTGCCACTGTGGGCGTTCCAAAACAGTTAAAAACAGATAATGCCCCTGGTTATACTTCTACCTCTTTTAAACAATTTTGCTCAACATTTGGCATTACTCATATAACAGGAATCCCATACAATCCACAGGGACAAGGCATAGTTGAAAGAGCTCATCAAACTATTAAAATGTACTTATTAAAGCAAAAAGAAGAATTGGGAAGGGGTATATATTCCCCAAAGATAAACTTAAAATAACCCTTTTTACTCTAAACTTTTTAAATTTGGATTCATCAGGGCTTAGTGCTGCGGAAAGGCATATGTGTCCAAAAAATGTACATAAGCCCAAGGTACTTTGGAAGGATATTCTAACAGGACAATGGAAAGGTCCTGACCCAGTAATTGTCTGGAGTCGGGGGTCTGTTTGTGTGTTTCCACAGGGAGAACAGCAGCCGATTTGGATTCCAGAGAGATTAACTAAGGTCCTGACCCAGTGATTGCCTGGAGTCGGGGGTCTGTTTATGTGTTTCCACAGGGAGAACAGCAGCCGATTTGGATTCCAGAAAGATTAACTAAAGCGATTTCTACAGACCAAAAAGATGATTTGGCTCAAATCCATAACAGCTGATATCCAGAACTCCAGTTTGGCTACCCTTACATCTGCGACAGAACCAGGATGCTTTTTTCAATATCTATTTTATTATTGCCCTTTCCCACATCATGAAGTTCTATTTTGTTTTTTGAGCTCATACAGACCTAGGTTAATGTTTTGCTGATCAGTTCTATTTTTTGACTATAGAGTTTTTAAACATTGCAATGGAGATTTCACCTGTAAAAAGTTATAAGGCCTTTACTATTATGTTATGTGTTGTGTGCACACTTGTGTTTTATGTTGTATGTTTGTATGTACGTATGTCCATATATCATATATGATGCGCGCTCAAGAAAACATGGATCCAAATATTTTTTTTTTATTCACGTGATTTAAATCTGCTTGTCGTGATCGTTCAGCTAAAATTTGGGGGCCAACAGAGGTGAGGCAAAGAACCTCACCCCCCCGCTGGTACAAAGACCTATCCACAGGTGTGGCTGTATACTGGACCGGTAGGCAGTTACGGGTAAGATCCAATTGCAATGGTACCAACTTAAGACAGGAGGCTGATGCCTTGAGGTCAGCTCATCCAATAACGGGTAAGCACCATATGTACTATTGGACAACCTAAGGCAGGCACGGTCCCTAAGCCACATGCTTGTTGTTTAAACAGAGAGGGGGAAATGTTGAGAGCCACAGCTGAAGGGGCCCCAGCAAACTTTCAGACTGCCAGCTGATGATTGGCTCACAGTGGCCCCAGCAACTTCTAGCTGATTGGCTCCTCTGCGGTGATGCTCATTGGGCTGTTTCCCCGCCCTTTCAGACTGCCAGCTGATGATTGGCTCACAGCGGCCCCAGCAACTTCTAGCTGATTGGCTCCTCTGCAGTGACGCTCATTGGGCTGTTTCCCCACCCTTTCAGACTACAGAGCTGCTCATTGGGGGACTTTTTTTGGCTCCGCCCATGTGACCCAGCCAATAGGCCTCAAGAGCAGGAGGAGTGGGGGAGGTTGAGAGGCTTGTGGGAAGCCGGTGGTGGCAGTTGGGCTCTGAAGGTTTTTCCTGAGGAGCTGTTTTGTTTGGCGTGAGTGGTTCTAAAAATAAAGTTCGTTTCTTTTGATAAGTGGCTCCTGAATTGTGCCCAGCCAGACTGTGGCACCTCCCTGCTTACACCATCATCTGTCACACTCCCCTGGCTCATACTCATCAGCTTGTAAATATTCAGGTCCTTCTTCCATTAAAAACTACAATTCATAACCACCTTCTCTGAAGCCCCAACTCTTTGCTCCACTTTGCAGTACATCTTAGGAGAGTTGTCTACCCCATTAAGTGACCATGGCCTGCCCCTCCTGGAATATCCCTGAAGTCCATGCTCCATGCAGAGAAACTTGTCCTTAAAGAGAAGTTAGATGGCATAGGCCTCTGCTCAAGACCATGAGATAGCCTCCTCTTCTGCCCATGGCCAAAGCCCACGGTCTCACAGTGGCTCCCACAGTCCTTTATTATGATCAGCCCCTGTCCTTCCCTTGGCTCCATGCCCCCTTCTCAGCCCAGTCACACTCTATTCTGGTCAGTCCTCCTGCTGCTCATTGCCACAAAACACCTGGTTCTAGATGGTTCTATCAGACTCACTCCCATCCCTCATGCAGTTTTTGCTCCAACATTACCTTCATGACCAGACTTACCCTGTCTACCCTTCTACCCTCTCACTACCATCCCTCCTGATTCCTTGCTATACCAGTTTTTTGGTTTTTTTTTTAGTTGTACACAATACCTTTATTTTGTTTATTTGTTTTTATGTGGTACTGAGGATCAAACCCAGGGCCTCACATGTGCTAGGCGAGTGCTCTACCGCTGAGCCACAACCCCAGCCCTATACCAGGTTGTTTTTTCCATAGTGCTTATCACTTTCAGTATACTGGATAACTTATTTATCAAGTTCTCTGTATGTCTCTTCCATTAGAATATTTACCCCACAAGACAAGGATCTTTACCTGAATCAATCATTAAGGCACCTCACACACCAGTAACGGGAACTCACACATCACAGACATTCAACAAATACTGGTTAATGAGTGAATGGAAACACAGAACATTTGGATAAGTAGGTTTCTGTTATCATTGAATAACAAGTCTGACAACTGGTGAATTAAAACATATTTTCACAGAAGCATTCTATGTGGGAAGATGAGTAGAGGAACTGACAGCGAGTACAAAGTCACTCTATGATCCAGAACCAGGAGCAACAAGGAACAGGGCTTCCACCACTCAACTCAAATGATGAAACTTGCTTGAATCACAGGAAAACTTCAGTTAATGGACTTTTCTTCATCTAAAACCTGTCTCACACTTCTGGTAACTGCCACTGGAGTCTGTACTAAAATGAAGGAAGGGGCTGGGGCTGCAGCTCAGGGGTACAGTGCTCTCCTACAATGCATGAGGCTCTGGGCTCACCCCAAGACTCTAAAAAATCAATCAATAGATAAATGAGGTGGAGGCTATATCTGCCACCAGCAAATCTCCATGTGATTTCAGAAAGAAGACGACGGCATCCAGGCTTGTCATAACCTGGATGAGACTGAGGACCTGACTTAACACAAACTGTGGCACTCAGGGGACAATGTAAAGCAGAGATAGAAAGAAGATTTGGGGGATACTCAGTGGTCTTGACTAGGGGAAAAAGAAGCTGACAAAAGACAAGGACAGATGACGACAGTGTTGAAATAAACAAAAATATGCTAAGGAAGAAAAATGGAAGTATTTGAAAATGGGAAGGATTAACAGTCACCCTTCCTGAATTCTAATTCAACTGGAACTTCAGCTCCCACGTCTCTCCTGGACAATTCACACAGCCTCCAATATTTATCCAACTGACCCAAATTGTCTCTTAGGAGACAGAGGGCTGCAGACACTCAGGAGCCAGAGCAGCCTGAGCCGTCTATGCCTGCACCTTCCCTCCCTGATGCTGCAGTGGGGTACAGGACAGGCGGGTCCTCCACTAGCACTCTGGCACAGGACAGGCCTGGAAAGAGGAGAGTGGCATAGGATACCAAGACTCGGTGCCTTCAAGCCCAGCTCTGCTGGGGACCATGAAGGTCTAAGCAGAAGAGGAAGCAAGGGCACCTGATTAAGGCCAGCCACAGCCACTCTCTCACTTTCTTATAGCACATACACTCTCCCTGGGTTGGGATGCAATGACATTTCCTTGCCATTCCTCTTTCTGGGACAGATAAGAGTTTTGTGACACCATCCTGAGGAAGCAAAATCAAGACAAAGACAGTAAAAGTTTAGGTGAAAGTTATGTGTGTTCCAAAACTAAATTCCTGGGAAATTTGGCTTTTCTTCCTTTTCTTTGCTGTTTATCATATTTATTTTATGAGTGTGTGTATGTATGTATGTATATATCTATATCTATTACTAAATTTGGTAGGCAGCAATTTTCAGACTCTGAGCTAAAAAATGATGCAGTCTCCAAACTGATTTCTAGATGTTAAGAATGTTCTGAGGCCTTGGTTCTTGCATTAAAAAAGCAGGAATTCATAGAAAAGAAGTGGTTAGAAGTTAGGGCTTCCATACCATATGAGCAGGGAAAGGGAAGAAGACAAAGGCTCTTAAAGGAAAAGACCAAACAGGCCCTCTGGAGAACAGATAGGAGAAAGGGTACAGTTTTGTGATAATTAGGTGGCTTCTTACATTGGTAAGATTTCTTGTCTAGTCTTAGGACAGAAGTCAATCTCCCTGGTGGGAAAATTCAACTCTAGGAAGAATTATGACACCTGAAATCTTTTGTGAAGTTTTGCTCTTATGCAGATAAAGAGAGTTCAGAGAAGGCCCTCATCCTTCATCTATTGTTTCTCAGATGTCCTCAGATCAAAATAATCCCTATGTCATTGTGGGATACCTTGTGTCCCTTATAGAAAGAGGACAGGGTAGGATGAAGATGGCATGATCTGGGTGGATGAACCTGCCACTTTCTGGCCACCTGTAGCCCCTCTGCCTGGCCAAAGCTGGGACACTTGGGGCCCCTGCTCCTTATCAGAGTTTGGAACGAATAACATGGGGATTAGAGGAATGGCCAGGCCATTTTTTTAAAAAGCAAAAAGCAATCATTCTGAGTGGAAAATTTCCATTCATGGAGGTGTCTGGGAACCTCTGGGGACAAATGCACAGTAGACGAATGCACATTTGACCTGGATCAGCTGAGAATGCAAGCACAAGCACAGGGCTCCATGTGATCACCCTGTGGCTCTTCATTCAAAGTGGCACAGAAAACCTCACTGAATTCTCTACACTCAGCTTATACATCTGTAACTCCACAATTTCTAGAACACATGTATTGGCGTCCAATGTGGGCCAAGAGGCCACATTTAAATTATCTACAATAAAATCTTTACGAATCCCACATAAGAAAATCCCCCTTCCCTAACCTGTTTTGCATTTTTGGAAAAGTGGGAGTAGAAATGCTTCCCTGCAAGCCTTACATAATCTCAACTATTGACTAGAATAACTTCATGCATTCTGTTATCATTACGAACCTCCACTCTAATACTTGCTTATTTCCTCCCATCAAAAACGGAGAAAAGGTGGCATACAATGGTATGCTCCTATAGTCTCAGCTATTCAGGAGGCTAAGGCAGAAGGACCACTTGAGCACAGGAGTTTGAGGTCATTTTTATCCACATGGCAAAGCCCTGTCTCTTATGTGTATGCACATGCATACACACACACACACACACAAACACATAAAAGTCAGCAATTATGATAGAAAAATTAGCAAAGTAAGACACACCAATTTTAAGACTATCTGAACTCATCCTTTCCTGTCAACTCTTACTGTTTTAAACACTCGTGCCCAAACAGAAACCAGAAGGCACCAGCACCACTGCTGGAGAACTACTTACTTTGAGACAGTCTGGATGATGAAAACGTCTTTCCCCCTCACAGACTCTTGAATCTGTACTCTGGTTTCTGGCAGGAAGAGGAAAAAGAGGAAGAGAAGGCATAGAGTTTATATTTTCAAAAATATACAAAGTGTCTGCTGCATACCCCAGTGTTGTTATCTATCAAAATTGGAACTATTTATAAAGACTCACTAGGTATTAGATGCTCCTAGAGATAATAAACAGAATGCTATCAATTGTGCTTTTTAACAGGCTCGGCTACATGACAGCATTAAATGGGAATTACCTTTCTGACCTGAAACAAGTACATCTAGGCTTCTCAGCCTTTACAAGTGAGCAGTAGGAGCTGGGCTAGGCTGAGCTTAGGACGTGTACAGGAACTGACACATTCAGTCTTTTGACCTGGATCAGCTGAGAACGCAAGCACAAGATATTGTATGCTATGACAGCAAAGAGAAATGAGATCTGATATTCCTACTTTCAAAACATTTGTAATTAACTACAAGGGAACAATTGGATAAATCTCTACAAGACAAATTCTTCATCAGTCAATGTCACAGGAAGAAAAAAAAAAACACAAGGAAATCATTTGAGATTAGAAGAGACTGAAGATATGTAAAACACACATCACTTGAATTAAGAGTCCTGGTCTGTAGGGGTATGACAGCTGTTGGGATGGTGGTATAGCTCAAGTGGTAGAGCACATGCTAGCAGATATGAGACCCTGAGCTCCATCCTCAGCACTAGGTTCTTTAGGAAAACTATGGAAATCTGAATATAGAGTGATATTACATGAATAAAGAACTATTAATTTCTTAAATATGACCGTGGTAATATTTTTTACACAGGAGAAAGAATTTATTCTCAGGAGATATGTGGTCAGGTATCTAGCACCAAGTGTCTCAACGTCTATAATTTACTTTCAAATGATTCCACACATACATATTCGGATGGCAAAATGTTAACTATTGACTCTATGTTGTAGATATACATATGGGTGGGTGGGCGCTTATGGGGTCAGATTTTAACTTTCACATATGTTTGAAAATTTTTATTAAAAATATTGGAAAGGGATGGAGGGTAGCTCAGTGGTACAGTACTTGCCTAGCACGTGTGAGGTCCTGGGGTCCATCCCCAGCACTGCATCAAAGAAATAAAAAAGTTGGAAAAAACAGAATGCAGATTTACAAGAGAATGTGGTGTGATGCTGAGAAAATGAACGTTAGAATCGCGGAAATCTGGGTTTGAATCCTGACTCTCCTACTTTGGGGACCTCATACAGAATATCTCACCTAAACTGTTTTCAAGATCTGATGACAATACAAAAGCATAATTGTTACTTCCTTCCTTCCTTCCCAACAGACACTAAGTACCTTCCCTCCCTTGACTCATAAGCTTGAAGAGTGAACCAGCCTCCTTGAGTCTTCACTGCGGCGAGGCTTTCCTTTGGCCCTCCCTCATCCAGTCCCCATTAAAGGAGAATCTCCCCTAGAATGTCTCTTCAAACTGTTTCTTCAACTGCACTTTTCTCTACTGAAGCCATTTGGGGTATCTTAGGAGACAGGAAAAAGGAGGCAGTACTGGAGAGATCAATAAGGGAAGAGGAGAAAGGTACCTTTCTATCAAAGCCTCTTGAAAGCTTTGTAATACTTAAATATTTGACAAAATCCTGTAGTAGAAAAGGAAACGGAATGAGTATTTACAGAGTACTTACTATGTGCCAAGATCTGTGTTATACACAGATTATCCATTTAATCCTTGAAACAGCCATAATTGTTTACAATTTAGAAAGGTTAAATAACTTTCCAAGAATAAGGTGCTGACTCTCAAGCCCATGCAAGCTGTACATCACTCTTGCTAGAATAATTTTAAATATCCAACATTTAAAAATATACTACCAACATCTAATAACACATTCTTTGTAAATTGGGATGGTTATTGGTGGCAGAAATCAATTAGCAGAAGTATTTCCTATGATGTTTAAACTATGGCAGCTTAGGTGGAAATAAAGAATAACTAACTTGGAACTAAGGGTATCAGAGGTAGGATGCATGCTTAGCACATGGGAAGCTCTGGGTTACATCCCCAGCACCAGGGGGAAAAAATGGCATGGTGATATATGTCTATAGTCCCTGCTACTCAGGAGGCTGAAGCAGGAGACTGCTTGGGCCCAGGAGTCTGAGGCCAGCAAAAACACTCCAACTCCCCACCTCCCCTCCCCCTGCCCCCATCACCCCCATACTGGGCACCTACCACTGAGCTACATCCCATGCCCTTTTATTTTTTGAGACAGGGCCTCACTAAGTTGTCCAGGCTGGCATCAAACTTGTGATACTCTTGCTCAGTCTTCCAAGCAGTTGGGATTACATGGCATGTGCCATTGTGCCCAGTAAGACCCTGTCTTTGGGGGAAAAGAACAAGAACAAAAACCAAAAAACCCAACTGAAATTGCAGCCACACAGGATTTGCTTATCCTGCCTAAAGTGATGTCAATTCAACCAACAGCAAAGCTAATGTTTTCATTCATCTGACTGTCTGGTTCATATATTTATGCAATTATTATTAAATAAACTCTAAAACTGGCATTTGAGACCCACATGTGACTCTAGTTGGTACGAATGAGAACTAAAACATCACTCTCTTTCACCTTGAGTGACTTTTTGCTAACAGAATCGGACAACTGAGTCAAATTGTCTCAACAGTAGAGGATGAAGGACTAAGCCAACATGCCATATTCCCCCAAAAGATCAATGGTACACACGACCAAGATAGCTCACCTCGGTTAGGTTCCTGGTAAACCTGCACTTTGCCCATTTCCACCCCCAGCCGCCTAGAGAAGAGAAAGTGGGGGAAAAGCTGAGAAGGTCATAGAACAGACTCAATATCTCTATTATTTAAGGATGATCATAAATTGATAAAAGTAAAATAAAATAGTTATTCTTATTACAAAATTTGAAGTCAATATTAAATTGTTATGAGTTCACCTCCTGCCCTCTTACCCCCTCCCAGGTCTAGCCAAGGTCTATACAGTCCATCTCTGCCTGTCTTGCCTCCTATACTCCTGCTGCCCTCTGACCTCCAGCCCAGGTTCCTGACACACACCAATGCCTGCTCCTGCACACCAAAGGGCCTTGGAACCTGCTGTTCCCTCTGCGTGGAGGCCTCTAACCTTAGACCTCCATGTGTTGGCTCCTACAGGTTTCTCAATTTACTTATCATCCCCTCAGTTTAAGACACTTGTACATCCAAGCTAAAGTTGTACAACCTGCCGCATTCCAACTTTCTTGCTGCCTTCTTTGGCTCTCACACTTAAATGTAAACTTTGTAAGAAAGAAGAAAGTTGACTGGTCTGCTCCCTGCTAACCCCCAATGGCTAGGTCAAGGTCTTGTACAGAGCAGGGGTTTAATGTTCATTTAATAAATATCTAAAATTACACTGAAGTATAAGCTGTGAACTATTCTTATTCACTATACATTTCACTTTTCATTATATGAAAATAATCCTATGAGCACACAGCACCCAATGCAATCCCTGGCACTTATGAGGCACTTAATGGAGTAAATATGTAGGGAATTGGGATAATTTAAATAAAGGTTAGCTTTAGTTTATATGGATAATATATAGATTAACTACAACATAACTGCTTTCAAGCTTGACAATCACTGCTAATCTGATTATCAAATTTATATCACACAATCAATACAGATTTTAATGGTAAAATTATAACTCACTCGGCAATCTTCTTTGAAAGCTCCATACATGATGAATTAGAATTTGCTGAAAACAGCACCAGACCTCCTTTGGTTATGTTCATCTTGGTTTCTAATTCAGGTGGCGTCACACAAAACATCAAAACCTTCTTGGTTTTCCAATTCTGAGCCTAGAAGGATATAAAATGTCAAAATTGCCATATGATATAAAATATACCTGAAAAGATTTCTTAAAAATAGCAAATAACTTCTGCTGAAAAAAAATATTTTTCACCATAATGGTGCCTTTTATAGGGGAGATATATACATATATGGATAAACAGAAAGTTCATTTGAATTTTAGGGTTCCAAATTGATGGAAATAAGTCAAAAGACTTAAACTCATTTTCACAACCACTGGGAATAAATGATGAACTTACAAGAAAGGTGGAGCTGAAGAGCTCAGTGTTTTACTGTTTGCTGCTTAAAGTCAATTATGGACAACCTCCTTTTATTCTCTGACAACAAAATTCCTCCTGGATTAACACACAGAAAAATGGCAGAGCCATTAGCAAGGATGTGCACTGATCGATCCTTAAACAAAAAATATATGACCTATCTACACCCAGCTTTTCTTGTAAAATCTGTTTCCCATAAATCTCCCTGTGATCTTTTAGATGCCTCCCAGATGCCCGAGTCATGCATAAAACTGATCTTGTCATCTTTCTTTTCCTCAACTGGAACATGAGGCTGACTAGAAAATAACCCTAAGGAAAGTTAAGTGACCTCCCAATTGACAGGCAGCAGGACAAAAGTAAAAAGGCCCCTGGCCTAGAGGTCATTATAGCTGAGCTTCTCATCTCATTTATTCTGGGCTGCATGTCCCTATTATGTAATGAGGATGCTGCATTGCATGGAGTATCAATAATCAGCAGGCCATGAGAGGACCCTTTTCCCAGAAAGCATAGTGCACTTCTTCCATTGAATGTTTACTTGGGGCAGCTGGTGATTATAAACAGGCTGAAACTCAGCTGATCCTTTTTGTTATTCTTAAATTTTAATTAAGCAAGTAACATGCAAACACATCCTCCTTGTCAAGATCTTCAACACCATAGTTAAGGCAAAAATCACCAGCCCCAACACTAGGCTTGTCCCCCAGAAGTGAGGGCTCCTGGATACCTCAGGCCTTTTCCATGCACTCACAGGCCTGACCCTTATAAAATATATAGATAAAACATACATTCAATGGTTCCAGCACAAAAAGGTATATCATTGCACAAATCTAAACTTTTTCACCAAACAGTATATTTTGACAAGCTGGGTTAGAAAACACAGACCTATTCTGTTCTTCCTAACTCTGCCTAGTCTTGCATGGTGTGAACACGCCACTTTTAGCCAGGTCACCATCCTGAAGAGTTCTCATAGTGCACATATGCCATGGAACCATCCGGTCACAGGTAGCTCAGTGCATAGTCCCACTAGAGGGCTAGGAAAGTACACCTCCAGCCAAGAGCCCTCAAGGGGCATTTCAATCAGGACAGCCTAGGATTCTAAATCAGAATATATATGGGACTACATTGCAATTCATCTTAAGCCTATGAATTATAAAGAAAAATGTATGCAGGATGATCAAAGTCCTGAAGAGATCAAGGAGGAACACTGATGTCTACACCAAGGCTTTCAAGCAGGGATCAGCAAATACAGCCAGGAGCCAAATCAAGTCCCTCCAAAGCCATGCTCCTTTGTTTGAAAGTTGCTCCGGGATGCAACTGCAGGCTGGGCATAACTACAAAGCCTAAATATTATCTGGTCTTTTACAGAAAAGGGTGGGGTGGCTGACCACTGCTTTACAAGAGAGCACAGCATCTGCAAAGGATGAGAACCCATCAGAAAGGTTAATATAAATGAAAGAAATACTGCATCATCACCAACACTGGGTGGGAAGGGATCTTAGATGTCCTCTAACAGAGATGTCTGTTTACAAAAAGGGTAGAAGTTTAGAAGGAAACAAACAAAACTGTTTCTTCAGAAGTCACAAATTTAGGCTTCTGAGTCAAAATTCATGTTTGCATCTTAGCTTCCACTTCCCCTTAATTGACAGCGAGGCCTTGCTAAGTTACTTAAGACCTCGTAGCTTCAGTTCCCTTATCCATGCAAATTAGAAAACTGGTCCCACAGGGTTACTGTAAATTTTCTGCCAAGGATTTAACACATGGACATTGGACACATGTATACGCAGCAAATAACTTTCAACACTTTGGATATCTATTAAATATAATAATAGGTATGGGGTGGCCATATTTCTTTCTAACCTTCCAATAAGCTCCTAGAAGTACAAAAGTGTTCTTGAGAGTACTTGGAACAGAATGAAAATATTTTAGAGATACAAAAAATATTATATAAATAATTTAGACCATTTCTATTCAATCTGCTGTTAGTAGCCCATCTGTAGTTTCTTGCCAAGGAACTACACCAAGGGCTCATCATTTCAAATTCTTCCTCAGAACATGCTGAGACTCCTTTCCCTGCACCCTCTATCCACTGCTTCTTGTCCTTTGAAGATTTATAGGAAACATCAGATTCCTTGTTCACAGGACAGCCCCCACGTTATCTTAAGATAGTTTCTCTTGATATTTCCTGAAGCATTTCCTTATCTCACATGGCTCAAATGCCCTATATCACCCTGACTATGGTATCTGAAGTTCCAATCTTCAAATATAAAACTAGTTTTATAGGCTAGTTTTAAAGGCTAGCCTCAAAAACACAATGATAGGACAGGCTGGTAGGAGGCTCAGTAGCACAAGGTTTTATCGTGAAATGGAGAATAAAAAGAGCATTCCCACTTTCCCCCTATAAGCTACAACTGCTTTTTTGTTTATCCTAAATCTATTCTAGAATGTGTAAGACAGCAGATGTGAAAACCCATCCTTTCCAATGAATCTTTGCATCTTTTAAAATGGAAATCACGCTCCTCTCTGAATGAGCTTTGAGTCTGCTGTTTCATGAATTAAACTACACTGCAAGAGTTCACCTACTGTGGACAGACTAGTAGTCATTTCAACATCAACCATTCTTTTTTTTTTTTTAAATTCGTGACCCTGCGTGATGATTCATATTGGAAATGAGCAAGGATGGCACAGAAGTATATCATTTTCCCACTGTGTAATACTCCTCTATCTGCAGATAGTGGAGGGGGGTGAAGGCTTGGGATTGCCTTCCACAGTTACTAGCTGCCAGTTCTGGGGCACATCCCTAGACCTTAATCTTTACCTTCCAGAAAACAGGGATAGAAACCTGCTATAAAACCTTCCCCACCAGAATTTAAAGTCCAGGCAGCAGAGCTTTTTTTTTTAAAAAAAACTATTTTCTGCCAATATCCAATGTCTAGAAGATCACCTAGCATTTGACAGAGGCTCAACAAAAGTATGTTGAATAAACCCTCACCTTGTTGAGTTGCGGCGATTAACAAATGGAACTGAAGCAGTCTGTTAACAAAAAGGCATCAAAAAACAAAGGATTATTACTTTTATTAGTAATACACCTCATTCTAAGAAAATTTACTTTTTTAAAAATCAAGGGCTGGGGGTGCAGCTCAGTGGGAGAGTGGTTGCTTCATGCAGAGGCCTCGGGTTCAATCCCCAGGACCAAAAGAAAAAAAATCAATATTGAGAATTTACTGGTAAAATTTAAATCTAATTACTCTTCCATTCTTCTGTGACCCCAGGCACTTTGTTCATCTGTCATCATAAAGTTTTATTATCCCTAATGCTTAACATTTTCTGAGTGATCTGAACTTTTATGACAGCCCAATGAAACAGGTATGAGAATTAAACCCATTTTAGAAATGAGGAAGTTTATGGTGCTGAGGGTATAGCTCAGTTGGTAGAGTGCTTGTCTTGAAAGCCCAAGGCCTTGAGTTCAATCCCCAGCACAAAAAGAAAGAAAAAAGAAGAAAAGAAAAGAAAAAAAAGAAATGGGGGAAGTTTAGAGGTGAAAAACCTTACTCAAGGCTGCACAGCCTCTCAGCAGCAGACAGAACCTGATCTTGGCCTGATTTCTAGGAGTTGGTAGTATACAACACTAGCTGCACAAACTGTCTCAACGTACACAGAATATGACTTGCCACCCTGCTGAATTCCACATACAGTGAGCAGAAAAGGACGAATATCCAGATTTTGAAAAATGTCTATTGCAAACGTGCCTTCTTTAGAAAACGGTTTATATCAAGTGCCAAAGAAAGAATACAAAAGTTTAAGTATTTCCAACTTTTTAAATTTACCCCAAGGAAAGAAGGACAAAACTCTACGCTCAAGATGGTAACTGCAAGATTTTTTTTTTTCTTTAAAGAGCAGAAATTCTGGATATATGCAAAGGTTCCACAGTGGGGTAATCAAGTACAACTGATACCATGCACTCAATATAATAATTATTCAACACTATTTAAGCAAAGTTGCTTATGAATGGAGCAGAACTGGGTAACAAAGGTACAGACCAGGACAAGGAAAAATATGGACAAGAAAAATATTCTTTAGTGGAGTTCAATAATATGGGTAAATTATTTTTATTTGTATATTTAAATTCTTGAAACCAGAACATTAGAAATCATACTTCCTATTGCCCCCAAACCCTATCCCACATGTTCATCCTTTATACAACCTAATCACTCAAATTGAGCCAACATTAAAATAAATTTCTAAAAAATCCTTGTCATCAATATACTATATTGGGGTAAAACATTTTAAAGCAGAACAGTAGCTTAGAAAACACATCTCGGCGCTCCCTCAACCTCTGCGGGGTTGAGTATGGAGTGGAACAAAACCACTCTTTTGTAGGTAAACGTCCACGACTAGCAAGATCAAGCAAATTAAAACTCACGTCTGCACGTACATTAGGGATGGGAGATGAGATCCCCTGCTGGCTGGGGACCCGCTTTCTGAAGGGCTCTGCCGCAGGTCCCACAATCAGGAATTGTCTCCCCCAAGGCGCCTAGAGGGGGCGGGGGACCCCGGGGCCATGCGGTAGGTCCTGTCCCCGCCAGCCCACTCGAGAAGGAAGGAGGGAGAGAGTGAGGGGATCCCTAGGGGCGCGAGGCTGGAGTCTCCCTCAGTACCCGCAGCCTCCCCCGCGGGACCCAGCCCACAGAGCCGCGGGGCTCCCCGCCCCTTTCACCTGCCGGTAACGCCCGCCAATTCGCACCGCTACTCGCCGCAGGCTCCCGCCCGCCTACCTGGCCCCGACCCCAGCCCCGGCCCTGCCGCACCCTCCGCAGTCGAAGGAAGAAATCACGGTTCTCCAGGCGGTGTCCCTAGGAGCAAAATGGCGGCCCCATGCGAAAGAACCGCATCCGCAGCTACTGAGAGGCCTGGGGACGACGTGGGGGGAGGGGCCAGAGTGGGGCTCGACGAGTCAAGTGACTTGGGCTTTGGGCGTGGCCTACCTGAAGGGGAGGAGCGGGATCTTCCGGTCCAGGCGACAGGGGTGGGGCCACATGGAGCGAATGCTGGGAGGGTGCGGAAGAAGGTGGGGCCAGGAGCTGGGACCCGGAGCTGGGACCAAAGAGATGCCTGGTTTGGTTTTGTGGGCGTGGCCCTCCTCACGTAGAAGTATACAGTGGGCGTGGCTAGGGCGGAGTCCGGCCGACACGAGGGGCGTGACGGAAGACGGGGCTATGCCTTTTAGTGTCCCTGGGAGCATGTAGGTCACAAGGATTACGTGTGAAGTGAGAGTGGGGCTTGGAATTGTAGGTGTCTGGGTTCAAGTCTTTATTGGCCTGTGACCTCGAGCAAGCCACTTCATCTCTCAATTTCCTTGTGTGGAAAACAGATGATCATAGAACCCATTTTATGGGATTGTTGAGTGGAATAAATGAGATACTTGCAGAGCTCTCAGCAAGATTCCTAGCATATCATAAGTGCTTAGTTGTTATCGTTTCTATTTGTTTTGCTGCTCTTTTCTTACGAATTGGTGCTTTGGGTATCCATTGCTTGAATTCTTTATAACTTCAATATGTTTACTCTTTATCATATGTATGATTGGGACCAGAAGTGTTTTGGATTTCTGATTTTTCCCTGGATTTTGGAGTATTTGCATATACACAATGAAATATGGCGATGGGACCAACTATAAACATGAAATTTGTTTCATATATACCTTATACACATAGCCTGAAGATCATTTTACAAAACATTTTAAATAATTTTTTTTTTCTGTACCAGGGATTGAAGCTAGGGATTCTTAACCATTGAGCTACATTTCTAGCCCTTTTTGTGTTTTATTTTGAGACAGGATCTTCCTAAGTTGCTTAGGGCCTCGTGCATAAAATAAGTTTCACTTTGTATCATTCCTAAAGCAAAGGAGGGCAGTAAAACACCATGTTCCTGAATGTACTTTTTCTGTTCCCCAAACCCTAGCCAAGTTAAGGACACAATGAAAGCAAGCTGGGCAGTATACACATTATCTTGAAGGAAATTGGCTTTCTCTTGTGAACACTCAGAACTGGGCAAAATGGTGTTATCTGTCAAAAGCTATTTCTTGTATATGCCAGCACAGTTGCTTCTTGGACTGCTGCTCATACAAGTAAACAAAGCAAGCTAATGCTGATGTCACTGCTTCTGCAGCCTAACATTTAAAACCTCTCAGTGGGGACTGGTACAGAACTGAAGTCACTGTGGAAAGTGTGTCGCTCGTCCAGCCAGTTTCCACTGGACAAAATTGCTGTGAGGGAGAAGAGGCGCTACTTGGTAAAACACTTTGAGGGATGGAGGTGCTGTTGGTCTGTCATCCCTGAACTCTCCTTGGAGCAGTTATTGATCTCTTGCAGGCTTTTGTCCGTAAACCATGTCTCCCATGCCATTTCTGGGCACTTTGTCTTTCCTGCAACCTACTCCACTGCCCTTGCACAACTGGGCTGCGGATGAGACACAGGTGTGGAATTTTCCACTCATGGCATTATGTCACTGGCAAAACATTTTGGGTTTTGGAGCAATTTGCGTTTCAGATTTTTGAATTAGGAATGTTTAACCTATATTTGGGCGATGATTTGGTAAATATCCCTAACCCAACCCTTAAAGACTGTAAGCACCACAATGGCAGGCTTTTTGTTTCTCTTGCTGTTTGATGGTATCCAGCAGTGTGCCTGGCACAATTATGGTACTCAGGAAATGTCTGTTAAGTGAGTGCTCTTTGCTTGGTGGAAAGAAGACGAGCAGCAGCAAAGAATGATGCTGAGCTGGCTGCAGCTTATCACTGCTCGCAGGGGTTCATGGTGAAGTGGCTTTTCTCTCATTGGTTCCCCTCCCTGCAGGCACTAAGATTGTGTTTCCTTTGATCTCTTATAGCAGATACAACTTCTCTATTTGCTTTCCATTTTCCAAACACTCTGGAAACCTTTTGTATACTGATGTCAAATCTCCCCACCTCTTTATTCTTGGGATAGACCCTGTCTCAAAAATTAAAAATATGGATCAGTTGTACAGCATTTACCTAGTAAGCATGAAGCCCTGGGTTCAATTTCAAGTATTGGGCAGGGATGATGGGGAATGGAAGGAAAAAATCTTTGCTATAGTTTAATAGAAGTTGTTCATGGTGTAGAGGGACAGAATGATTCTTCTCTTTCAAATGATTATTGAAATGAAGGAAACAGACGTGGATGTCAAACACTAGGACCAGGTTCCACATCCTCTCTCCTCTCCATTGCAGAAATGACCTCCCAGAGATACCATTGTTTCTCCGAGCTTTCAGTTTCCTCACCTGAAAAATGGTAACTCATGTTGGTGACATGGAAAGTTTGGTCCCAGTGCCTGAAGTAAAGTCAGTAATGAGGTTTTGAGAAAAAAGTTTTTTTGCTTTGTTAGCAAAGGAGAGTACAGTAGACTCCTATCCCAGAGGCTGTGATTCTAACTGCCAGGGGGAGCAACTGGCTTTTAAAAAGGGGATACAAAAGCTAAAATGCAGCCGTGCCCTATCAGGACTACTTATTTGTAGCTTCGAGAGAGAGCTACTTCTCTGACCCACTTGTACCAGCCCCGAAGTCTGGAGCCTTCATTCCTGTGGTCATTGGGCTGAAGAACAAATAACTCTGCCTAGGACAGGAAGAAGGTTAATCTTGCTTCCTTCCCTCATGATTAAAGAGGGGGAGAGGGAGAAGAGGAAGGAAAAAACAGCTTTAAAATAAGCTACCAATGGCAAAGCAGCAAGGGTTGTGTTCAAGGCATGGAGTGGCCCCATTACGTCAGCAGCTGTTTAGGGGTTGGGTGAGCAATGACATATACATGGAGTCCAAGGAGTAAGGGGTCACCAGAGAAAGCTGTTTTGCAGCTGCCTCTTCACGCTTGAGTCCCTGGTCATGCGGCCTCTAAGGTGGAGTGGGACTGCAGCTAGTCTGGCTGTGGGAGACAGCAGAGGCCAAGACCAGGTCCCCAGTCAAGGGATCCTTGGAAGTTTCTGTCATTGGATCCCTTCCTCTATCCTCCAACTTTTCTTTTTCTTTTTGCCCCTAAATGAAAAGACCTTCATTTTCTTTTATTAAAATATTTACATGTTACCAAAAAATCAAACAAGGAGAATTAATTAATTAATCTGCATTTACCCTATGTAGGTAATTACCTTTGATACTTTTTTGACTCCATTTTTCATTTGACAGTTTATTGTGCACCAGATCCCAGGTTGATGAATTTAGGTGGATGTCATTCATCATCAAGTGAACCATGGACAGAATAGCCCAGACTGGGAACCAGCAGCCAGGGTCCAGATTCTTTCTCCTGTCTCCCCAGATGTGTGATCTCAAGTCCCTTTAGCTCTCTGCACCCATTTCCTCATCTACAAAATGGGAATGCTAACAGCTTCTACCTCATGGGGGGTTGTGGTGACCAGGTGAGTTATTAACCAGCACACAGATGACAACCATTCTCTATTAGCTATACATGGATGCTATTGTGGTATGAATGGATCATGGTTCTGTTAAACCAACCCCTAATTATGGGCACTTTTTACTATTGTATACAATCTGTATCTGTACCATTGCCCAATTATTGCCTCATGTCAAATGGCTAGCTGTGTGCTTACTTGAAAGGTGACACCCTGTCTACATTTTGTTTCCCAGAAAGTATATACTGATTTACATTCTCACCAGGAAGGTAGAAAAGCATGTGTGTCCCTCACCCTCACCAACACCAGGCAGTATCCATGTTTTAACTTGGTAGAGTGGATGTCAATGTTTCCTGGACTTTAAAAATCACTTGCCCAAATCAAGCTGCCTGTAGCTGTGCTGGCCATCCTGCTGCTTCAACTCCATCTCTGTTCATTCACTCTACACATGTCAGGCCCAATGCCAAGACCTGGGGCTACAGCAGGAAACAGACAAAACATCTCCTTCATAAGGTGGCCACAGTAGAAGGGCCATTTCATGTCAAGTGTTCAGCAAGGTTCTACTTTAATACCCAGTAATCTATGACTACAGTATTTTCAAGTAAGTTTTATTTATTTTCTAAATATATTACATAGTATTATTATCATCACATGTGGCATTCATCATCATTACACATATAATAATATATATTACATACTGTCATTACCTTTTTTAAGCAATAGACCTTAGAAGTTACTTTTCCTCTCTGACCCTCAGTTTCCTCATCTATGAGGAATAGTACCTCCAGGCACTATTGAGAGGATGGAGTGGAGCCATGTATCCATGGTACCTGGCAACAAACCAAACCACAGTGAAGTTGAGATGGGCCACACACAGGTCCCTGTGGCAGCCTTCTACTGACAGACTCAGTGAACATCTGGGCTTCGAGCCTTTTGCAGGAATTGTTCTCACTGCAGCTATTCTCCTTGCACTGTTGGCCACACTGTGCAGAACCACAGCAGCAGCCCACCTGCTAGGACTTTGTTTCCATAACTGGAAAGTGACTAGTCAAAGGGTGAGGATTCCCCAAGCGGCACCCCAATTCAACTCTGTGGGGTCTCTCCCTGCCAGAGTCCAGCATCACAGCAAACGCTCCTCCCTCCCAAACCATATTTCTCTGGCTTGGTTACTCTAAATCCATCATCCTGAGATGGAGTCTTGGACCTACTGATCCCCTCCTCCATCTGGTCTACCACTGTCCTCTCTGGAGAGCCCTTTGTTACCACCCTT